TGCCCAGAGAGGAGAACGATGGAGTAGGGACCAGGCCAAATGCTGATGAATTAACAAAGCACTGTGGGCAACGATGATTTATGTAAGTAACTGGTTTGCACAAAGTCTACCATCTTGTATAGCTACATTCAGTTAAAAAAAAAAAAAGAATCGCATGGGCAATAGGCCCAGAGTTTCCTAGTCACCTGGCTTTTCCCTTCGGGTGTATACAAACAGATAAGGGGCTTGATTTTCTTGCATGTCTCCTCATTCATTGTTTCCAAGATTGAATTTTTTAATCAGTTGAACCAGACCTCAAGATAGTCTAGATTTCAGCTGGTCAAGAAGCAAAAGAGGAAACCACAACCACTTACAAGTTTGGATTTTTTTGTTCACTTGCTTTTTATTTTCTGGTAATCTGTCCTTTTATAATTTGGTAGGGACCTTCTCCTAAGAGTCTGGTCCCGGGGAATAGTGACATCTGTACTGTCTTTTCTGCAGTCGCTTTTCAAGAAACCAGAACTGTTATTTCTTAATAAATGAGCTTCAATGAACTTTGATTAGTGACGAACTGAAGAAGGCAAGGATTAGTTAAACATACCACAGTCCCAGTTCACAGAAGTAGGCATCTATAGATCTTTACACCCACATAGTGGAGTTCAATGGCCCACTCTAATGCAGTAGGTAATGAACTTCCAGATGCAAAAGTAACGGCACCCAGAACATAGGTTCTGAGCATAAGAGAGATGTAGTTTTGCTGAGTCTCAGCTGAGCCCCAGCAGTGACTTCCAATGAGCTATTTATTGTCCTTGCCAAAAGTTCTGTCACCACCAAGAGCTAGGTGAACAGAATGGACAAAGCCTTCTATACACTGGAAAAGTAATCCTCTGGCCTTTGAAAAAAAATTATACACATGAGTTATTCTCAATACATGGCTAGAAGAAAATAAATGGCTTTTTTCCCTTATTTACTCTAAAGACTAGTTTAAGTGAGGATACTATGATATCAACTAAGAGGTACTGGGAAGGGAAAATGGGATAGCATTTCCTAGTGGAGTCCACTAATTTTCTGATTAGGAACATGCTAAACTGGCTAAATCTACAACCACAACATACTTTTATAAATACACAGCATGACTAGAGACTGACCAGCATAGGTCTGCTTAGAATTAAAGTATACAACTGCATATGGTGAGTCTTAAAGCATGTTTTAAAACAGATTTAACCAAAGCATACAGCACAATACTTCTAGAATAGCCACATCACAACCACCAATAAAGAGTTTTGCTTCTAATCAGTCTGCCATATGCTAATATTTGTAAAGAGCTATTAAATGACTTGAATAAGAAAACAAAGACATTTTCTTTCGGTAGACACAGCTGAAAGCCATGATGCCTTTGAGCAGTTGGTAAAAATCATGCCAATCTGCCAGGCTGTTGCTTGCTTCTAAATATAAGCCTCATGGCTAAGAAAGATTTCCTAAGGCTGCTAACCTAGAATTTAAGTTCTCAAACATATGTAAAGTAACTCTGGTTTCCTCCCAAAGTATGCACCTTTTAGCAGGTCCAAGACAATGGAAATGAACAATAGGGTTGTAAAGATTTGAGAACAGCGGTAGAGGATTCTTAAAGAGAATATGATGTTGAGGAATTCACTCCTGCAGTTAGGTAGCCTGGAAAGCCCAGGGCCAGAGGCAGGTTCTGCCGAGTGCTTTGCCTGGACTGGTCTTGGGCAAGACTTCTAAATGTTGGTACTGTTTATGGGCCGGAACACTCTGGAGGATGTCTAGCAACATCCTTGGCGAGACCCACTAGATGCTGGTAGCAGCCCAAGACAACCAAATGCCTCCAGACATTGTCAATTGTGCCCTGGGGGACAAAACTGCCCTTGGCTGAGAAGTGCTGCTGTAGAGACAACTCACTTGAGCCTCTTGGCAGGGGGCACTCTCTTCTGGTCTGGGGCTCTGGAGAAAGTCCTAAACTTCAGTCAAGACCGAACAAAGATTAGTTAAAGTTTACTTAGAACTTCAGAGAAGAAAAAAGAGGATGATAGAGAAGAGAAAATAGAAAAACAGCGGAGCCAAGGTTCTTTTCAAAAGATCAGCAGTGATTTCCTAATGCTAAGTACTCCATAAGCCTTCAGTTCAACCTGTGTGTCCTTTAGGATGTCAGGGCAGGTAACAGAACATGGATGTCATCAATTCCCCCTCCTAAAGAAAATGTGGGGGTTTTGTGACTTTCAGTCAACTCCTTCCTGCCACGGATGGCATCTTTTTGAGGCCAATGAATGACCTACCAGAGGGGAAAGTGACAGTTAAAAGCTAAGAGAGGGCCCACCCATTCAATCTGAGAGGAAATGTTACTGTCCCCATCTGTGAGCAGGAAGAGAATAAACGGGATTGTAGATTCACTTACAGCTTATTGAGGATCAAGGAAAAGTCAGAACAGACAAGAGCTAAGAAGAGGATAAAAGAGCTAGCTCAGAAACACTAGTTGAAAACATTGTAGCTATTTTCTGGCTCAAATCTGGGAATGTAGGAAAAGTAAGTATTGACTTCATCAGTTAGGATTAGTTTGTTCTAGGTAGAAGGCAATTATTCTAGCCCTTCTTTGAAGAACCACCATGAATATAAATGTTCTGCAAACATCTGAGATCCCAGTGTTAGCAAAGATGACAACATGGGAAACCAGCCCCTTGGTGATGACGAGCCACTAATGCCACAGCATGGCAATGGGACCTCACAGTTCCTAAGCACACAGCACAGTGAGAAGTCTTTCCAGAGGAAACAAAATGTAGTTTCTGGTTTGCAGGGGGAAGGAGGGGAAGGGGATACAAGGTACAGATCTAGTATGAAAAAGAAGAGTTAAATATACACATTTTTAGTGTCACTATATCCAGGCAAAAACTGCTGAGGGTCTACCTCACTTGGGTAATCAAAGAGTTGCCTGGGAAAAGCCAGAATTCAGAGCTACCCAGACAGTACTGAACTGGTAACAGAAACGAGATAGGAAAAGAACTCAAGAGCATGCAAAATGAATCAAATTGTTTCCATGATAGTACCCAGTTGAGTTTCATTTTAGTGCCTATTATACTTATTAAAATTAAATAAAAGCACCTTAAAATGACCTCTATATATAATCAATACACATCATTATAGTATTTATATAAATATGCAATATGCACACAATTTAAGCTTCAAAGAATCTAAGACCTTTATAATCTTCATAATCATCAGCGCTACGATTCTTAAAATCTCAGGGAAGGGTTAACAGTAACTCAGCATATTTCAGTGACAGCTGACTTTATTTGGGGACTGACACTCTCAGAATTCTGGAACAAGTAGCAAATACTGAAAAGTTACCTCTTTGAGGGATGGGAGTGATCTCTAAAAGTCTTATTGCTAAGAGACTACTTTCAAAACTATGACTATTGATAGATGATGGTGTTGAGGTGTTTATTTTTGTCAAAGATGGTCCAGAGACAGGTGGGTATAATGCTTGCTGGCCAGAGGCCTTGATGATACTTGATACTAACTCGGGAGTCGAAAGTGATCAAATGAGGGAAGGATAGGTCCTGTTCTGATGGATGAGGTGTATGTATATATAGGTGTGCACGATGACCTTTTATCAATGGACAGTCCCAGGAAGGAAAAAAGGATACAGCAATTTTCTCTACATCTGGAATTGCTTCAGGAGCCTTTTAAATATATTAGAAGAGCAACAACAACAACAAAGCATTTAGAAGAAGAAATGCCATACACGTAGCTCATATCCCACCTGGAAGCAAGAATCTCCAGGAGGGCAGACAGCATTCAGGAGCAAAGAGCTGGTTTGCAAGATCCGCAGACAGGTGCCTCTTACAACCTCACAACAAGGAATGTCCACTGGCAAATCTTTGGTCTACACTCTAACACTAATGCTAAGTGGAAGAGCACATTCTCTGTAAAGACCCAAGAGCACCACTTCTGTCTATCCTCTCGTGTGCAAGTTAATGTCCCTGGACACAAATGAGAGCCAAGTGTCTGAGGACAGAAGTGAGGCCTGCTGGGATCCTTACTGGCTTATCTAACGTTCTTCTCCTGTGGGCCTGGAAAGAGATGCTGCATTTGTCTGCTACCAAGGATCATGTCTAGAGGCTACTGCTGGGGCCAAAAAGTTGAGCAAAGTTCATACTGTTACAGTCACATGTAGCCACAATTCAACTCCCTTTATTATAAGTATAATACTCACTTCATATCACAAATGTATAAAAATATGGCAGATAGTGTCATAATGATACTTTCTTTAAATGAATATATTTATAAAACAGACAGTTATTTACCATATATATTTATATATATAGAATAAAATACTCCTGATGCAATATATAAATGTTACTGTTTAGTTTTTATAGAAACTACTGTAGCTGTCCCACTGCTTCACAATGTTCCAAACAGCTCAAAATAACTTTACATTATAACATAAAAGGTATGATTATAACAGTACAATATTAATTATAAATAAATGTTACAAATCCTATCAAATATGGAAGCTTAGAAAACAATTTAAGACATACAGTTCATCTGCTAACCCTTCAAAGGGATACTCCTAGATTACAATAAACCCCACATTTAGTCTAGTCAGAAAAAAATATGTGGGAAGGGCATCGGTCAACATGAATTTTCTATCCCTCACAGCCAGGACATACATACCCTGGCTACCCCAAGTTCAACAGAGATTGCACTAAAGCTGGAATGTAACGGGGAGAAACTGGCAAGAAGTTCTTCTTCCTCAATGGCACACTCTATCCATTCTCACACAAGACCTGTGGGGAGTGGTGATCCCTAAGGAACTCCCGAGGCTCTAAGATCCCTGACTAGCATTTGTGGCTGCGAGGAGCCAAATGGCACCCTCCACACACAATATTGCACACACCTTCATAAAGCTGAAAATACTGGCTTACTACCCTGGCCCAGCCCATTTCCCAGCCCACCCTGAACCCTCCCCTCCCGACTGTCTTGTCTCCCCCCCACCCCCACCCCCCCATGCCAGCATAAATTACAAGGCTGTCTCTTTTAAATCATTCAGATTTGGCATTCGTGAGCGATTTGTTCTGTTATAAGGGTGCCCGTTTGGCCCACTCTTGGCACCCAGCTGTTCAGAATAGGAAGGCCCCTCTGTGGCACTCCTGGTCACAGAGGACACGTGCCATCCAGGATCCATCTGACCTGGCAGCTGAAGGGCTGGCCTGCCCTTTGGTGTAGGCTCCTGCCGGATGTTGCTGCTCCCACCAGAAGCCTGGCTCAGGGGGTGAATCCGAATTTCTGAGAAGGAATTTTTGGTTTGTTGAGCTGTTAAGGGCTGGAAACGAGGATCTGAAGAAGCCGGGTGATTGGTGGATGAAGAGAGATGCAACAGCTTGCGAAGGGATTTTAGTGGTTGGCTCTGAAAAAAAGATTAAGGTGCAGACAAGATTTCATTTAGAGTAAGCGAGGGAGCTGTGAGGACATGGAGCTCAGGTTCAAGATAAGATAACTAAACAGAGCTGGGAAGGGAGAACATGTGGCTGGAGGGGCAAGTCCAGCTCTACCTGGTCTCTGGGTTTCCTCAAACAAGATTTTAGTCACTGCCTTTGAAATGAAGGTCTAGAAATCAAGAGAAAATAACTAGAGTCACTCAAAGGTAGCACATGAAAGTCAGGGCTCCTTTGATCTGGCTGCATCCTGTCTTTACCCAGAAAGGAGAAGCAATAAGAGATATGCCTCTCCTTTTTCAGAAGACTTCCCAAATAAGTCTTCCATTTATAGTTCACCGGTGTTAGGATTAATCTTAATTGTCAACTGACTGGATTTAGAATCCCTGTGGAAATACACCTCTGGGTGTGTCTGTGAAGGTGTTTCCAAAGAGATTTAACTAAGGTGGGAAGATCCACCCAGAATGTGGGTGGCACCATTCCATGGGCTGGTGGCCTTGATTGAATAAAAGGAGAAAGTAGGCAGAACACTGGTATTCATGACTCTTTTTTCCTGACTGTGGATACAATGTGACCTGCTGTCATGCCTTCCCTACTGTGATGGACTGTACCCTCAACCTATGAAGGTATTTTGTCACAGCAATGGGAAAAGTAATTAATACAAACTTGATAGAACTTGGGCATATAACCATATTTAGCTGCAAGAGAAGCTGGGAAAATGCAGTGTTTCAGGTAGCTTGAAACGAGTTAAAAATAGCACTTCTTTCTTATTTGTTTAATGTTCCTTTTCTCTTGATACTACATCTTTACATTCTATGCTGTACTTTTACTTTTTCATTTCCATCTTTTTGAGGTGGGAATGGGTATAGTTTGGACACTAAAAATACAAAGCATTTATTTCAACTGCTCACAGAAAAACTGGCTAATGGACTTCCTGCCTGCAGAATGGCTGCTGGTCAAAGGCTCTACAGGGTACAGCACTGTGGAGGGCTACTGGTGTGAAAGTAGAAGGCCAGGTCTTAGATGAGACCAGCCCCTCACTGGCCAACTATTTTCAGGTAAGTCCTAAGCCTTAAGTTTCTCAATTGTGAAAGGCAACTCTTTCTCCTTTTCTTCTACCTTTAGCACGAGGTGCAGGAGAGTCACTACCAGAAAAGGCATAGAAAGCCAGGTATGGTAGCATATGATTGCAATCCCAGATAGATACTTGGGAAGGTGAGAGAAGAGAATCACAAGTTTGAGGACAGTTTGAGTAACTTCTCAAGATTCTCTGAAAAACAAAACAAAACAAACAAACAAAAAACACCACAGACACACACACACACACACACACACACACACACACACACACACACACACACACATAAACAAACCAACCAACTTGCTGTTGAAGCACCTCTAGCTAGTAAACCTCAGAGTACTTTTATCCTGAGTGCCACGGTAGTATAAGCCACATGCATTTTAGCTATCAGTCAACTTTGAATAACACTGATGATCTCTAGGAAAACTGCAAGATTTAAAGAAACAGGGTGCTAACAACCAAGGTAAATGAATTGAGAATCAACTCAAGGAGAAACAGCTTCTAGAGATGCACCCTCCAAGAATCCTCCAATGTTTTTCCAAGAAAGCTGTGAGGTCCCCACAGGAGGTGGCAGAATATTCTACACGCCAGAGATACTCAAAAGGGCTCTTTCTCTACAATCATCTCTTTTATGTTGCCCAGGGTAGCCTCCAACTCTTGATCCTCTTTGCTCTATGCCTTTATGTAGCTCAGGCTGGCCTGGATCTCTGTACACAGCCCAGGATACTCCCAAACTGTTCATACTCCTGTCTCCAACTCCCAAGTGCTGAGACTACGGTGTGTGGCAGCATCCCTGACTACTTTTTCTTTTTTATTAAAAGGATGAAATGAGTCTCTCCTAGTGAATTTTATAAACTTATCAAACAATCATAATAATCCAGAATCAGCTGGAGATGTGAAGTTCTCAGTTTGAATAATTTTTTTGAACAAAAAATTAGGATATCTGACTCTCTATGCCCCCTTAACTGTCAGAATAGACCATGCTCTAAGTAAAAGACATAAATGGCCAGGCAAAGAGAATGGCAGTTCTGGGGAACTTCTGTTACAGCTCCAAGTAACAGACTACAGTGAAACATGTCAGATCTATAACCCTACAGGTGGAATGGGAAGCCAGTAGGACTGTTAGTTCCAGGACAGTCTGAGTTACACAGCAAACTGCAGGCCAACCTGGACTAACAGCTGAAATGTTTTCTTAAGAATGAAAGAATAGAACACAAAGCCTATAAAAAGTAGAGCCTCTGCTTCTAAATACCTCAAGTTTGGGTAAAATAAACATGGTAGATTATGTCATCATGTTTATTACAGAATATTGAAGGGATCCAATACTGAAACATTTCTAATTAGAATAACTGTTTAAAATTGATACATTAGTTATTTGAAAAAACATTAAAGTTCCCCATTATGGCAAGGAATTATAATCCTATGTTACTATGTAATATGTAATTCCTAATATAAGTGTTTGGGTGTCTTTATAGAAAAACAGTTTGGATTTCAGAAGTTAAACTATTCTTTCAAGAATGCTTCTAGTATCTGGTTTTCAAGGCCCAACTTATATGCTAGCATCTTTAAGGTTAATCCTCTCATGACCTCGGTTTATCATCCCCAATAATTCATAACATACCTTACTTTTTACTAAGATCTTCATGAATCTTTGTCTCCTGAGCTGCAGCCTATTTGTGGGCTAGGACTATTTCTTCTTCATCTCTCTACATTGCCCCACTGCCCTCCACAGCTAGATAAAGGATAGTGGGAACTAGCTGTGCCCAGTGGGAAAGGAACCACTGACAGGATTCATCCTGACTTCTAAAATGCATCAAGGCTACTCATTAGGGTCTATTTGGGGGAGGCTATAATTTTTCTTCTTTGCCCTCCCATCCCAGGACACACCGTAGCATGAAAATCGGTAAGCAGAACTCACCTGGGTCTGTAGATCTGAGAGCTTCTCAGGTCGCCACTCCTTTGGTCTGCTGCTTGCAGTGCTAGAAGAATGAATGGCTTTCTGTAAAGTCAGAAGGTCGGGACCATCAGTATTGGGTACCTAGAGGGAAAGATGGAGAAGGACTCAACAAGCATACCAATAACCCTAATTAAGATATACAACAACACCCAAGAGGAGACCCAAACCGAAAAGTAAATTGAACTAAACCAAAATTCAAAAGAGGGAGGAAAAAACCAAAAAGACCCAGTAAGTAAACCAAAATTCTCCAAATGTCCATGATGCAAGTGGTGCTAGTTAAGTTCTGCTGCCTTCTTAATAATTTTCCCTGCATTAGGAAAAATTGGCAGATGTCATGCAGCTTGGTTAAAACCTTATCCCTTAAAGCATTCCCATGCTGTTAGTTTCAGTAAGCTGTAAGAGAGAGCAGTTAAAGTGGACTGGACCAGGAACTGCTGTTGTATCCTCATTCCATACTGTAGTTAGGTTATGAACCAGTTCAATAAAAAAAATGTTCATGCTGGGAATATGATGCAAACTCTGCATTTGATGTTGTCAAACAAGTCTAGGGGGCTTTCAGGGAGAGAGAAGTGGGGAGGTATGGTTTGAATCATAGCCCCAAACTGCCCAGTAAATCTGGGTCTGGCATTGTACACTCAGAAAGTGCTAGAAATTTATGCCACAAATTCCGAATGAATGCAATTGGTCTATTCAATGACTTTGGTGGACAAAGGAGTGTTGTGGCAAATGCCAAGCAAAAGCCATGGCTTTACACCTAGTGACCAGCAAAAGCTAGAGGCAGGGAAGGAAAGAGCAAGTTATCAACTAGTACAAGCTGCTTTTTTCATGGAGCCTGCTAGCGCAAATAATTTGGTCAGTTTGAACTTGGTTTCAAAGAAACAACTGCCAACCCAATGGTAAGAAAGCTCGTGTGGTGAGCCAACAGCAAAGACACTTGCTGACTGTAAATGTTAATCAGATTCTTTATAGGAATTAAAGGACTTCATGGAGGCTGTCGGCCAACAACTGGCTAATCAGTTCATTCAAACCAGCCTTACTAGTTTGTTTAGTAGGCTTAAATGCTTTGGCATCTTTAACTGATGCAGAAAACCCAGACTAGATATAGATATATAATAGATATCAAATATATGTATTATATATATCCATATATCCCAGTGAATTTATGGAACTGGCTCAGGCACTTAACTAGCACAAAGAGAATATGACCCCATGAAAATAAGACATGCTGATGTCATCAGTAAAACAAGTTTACTGGAGCAGTTTTCAGGGCTACTATATGTAAAAACGGGTACCATGGGTGGAGTGACTACAGGAAGCTTTTTCAAAGAAGAACTATGCTTTAAATGATTCTTTGAATTAAAAAGAGGAAAGAGGGATTTCTTGATGCTTGGATTCTCCCCGTTGGTAGAGTCTGTCTGTAATATAAGATACAAATGAGCTAATTGAAAAAAGAAAAAAAGTAAGTAAAATAAATAGGTGCTTTAGTTGAAACTACTAGCCCTTGGTGGTCCGCAAATGATTAAATATTAACACCCATGGAAAGAATCTCTGTGCTATGCATCTAGAGAGATTACTTGTTATTTTTCAACTGGAAACAATAATGTAAGTTTAGGCAAGCACAAAATTTTCACAGCCTATACCATGGTTTTGAGCAATAGTCCAGGAATGCCTGGAGACCTTTGGGCATCTGCTTATATTATGCTTACTTAAAAATGTATTTATTATAAAAAATAAGACTATTATGAAGAATTGTGTTTAATGAGTTAGTGATGAACTTCAGTCATTTTCTAATTGTTAGGACTTCAGTAACTAAGAGATTCTACCATATGGCTAGGTTATTATACAAGAAAATATACTTGAAGTCATTCTGAACTGCTTGGTCACTTATTTTGAGGCAGTAAATATCACGTGGAAGGGGATTACCACTGTTGTGGGATACTAAGGTTAATTAAGTAGCCGTATTCTACACTGTTAGAAATATATACCTCACTTAAAACATCTGGCACAATTTCGAATTCTGGTTTTCCAGCAAAGAGACAAAAGTTTAATCTTCAGGACTGGTAAGATGGATCAGTGGGGCACTTAGCAACCTGAGTTTGATTCCCAGAACCCACATAAAGGTCAAAAGAGAGAACCAACTCTACAAAATTGTCCTCTGACCTTTATATAATGTGGCTCCTTTGCACCCTCCTCCCCAATATCATGCACACACATACAATAAATCCTTTTAAAAGTTCAAACTTTAAACTGAAGTATCATTTCAAGTTGCAATACTAAATAAGATACAATTACCAAGTTGGCAAAGTCACCATATGCTCTGAGGGCTTATGTAACTCCCTGGATACACAACTGAAGCCAGATTCCCCAAGGCAGTTTCCATCCAGACTTCCTTGAGTCAAAGCAGGCAGCTTTACAACACAGAATTCGTTTGGGCACCTCTTTTCTCTCTTTCGGCTGCCTCGATTGTCAGAGAACAAAAATGGATAGCAATGCAGTCGGATCATCTTCTCAGTGGTGTGGGTATGAAGGCGTCCGGGTCAATGTCTGCGTTTTCCTGCGTTAATGACACTAACCCTGTATAGGACTTTAACTTGGACTGCCAAGAAGGCCAGCAGGGAGCTCTCAGAGACCTTTCACAGGGGAAGCCAGTTTTACTCCTTACCTCTCATTGGGTGACTTTGGACAGGTCACCTCTTGCCTGGCTCAGCTCCTATACTAGTAAACTAGATTTAGGATACACCTGAATTTAGGATGAGTGGCATCAGATTTCAATTTCTTGGAATCTTATGTAAAAGTTCCAATGCCTTCAATGTTTTGGTTTGCTCAACTTAGTTTTCTTGTTACTAACCTTTGGAAAGTAAAAGCAAGTTCCCCTTAGTTACAATTGAATGCTCATTCAAAGGAAGCAGAGTTAATTTAATGCTAGGCCTCAGTGCTTGAGGTCTGGCATTCTGTATGTAGTGCTCTTTGAAAATCTGACTCTATAGACTCCAAAGCCCTTACGGTGTTTCTTAATTAAAAAATGGAGAGGTTTGGAAAATTTAAGGTATTATGATCTGTGGACAGCTATTCTGCAGTTAGTGTAAATATTTAAGAAAAAGGTTAAGTGGAGAGGATGCTAGAGAATAAGAATTTTTCTATTACCCTAATTTATTTAACTATTTAAATATCTAAAATTTGAACCAAATCCTAAATAATCAAGTTAGGCAAGATGTATATACTTTGCTTAGCCACAGTCAGGCAAGGGCTTTAGGTTTAACGTTGGTCTAAGGCAGACAACCATTAAAATCTAAATATATATACAAGACAGCCTCAATTCTTCTATCCTTACTATTTTCTACAACTTAATCGTATCACAGGACTGTAAGCATGTAGTTAACAAAAACTCACAAAATTTACAGCAGTGACCAGGAAAAAGTGTCTGAAGGGTAATGCTTAGGATAGATAATATGTTCTATAGACAATGGGCAGAGTTTAAATGTTTTTAGCACTTAAAACATTTTAAGCATCCTGAAGCAAATTCAAGCCTATTTCTTCATTTCTTTACCCAGTTTCAGCAACAAATGTAGTTGAGTGGCATTTTGATTTGACATTTCAATCTAGGCAAGTTTCAGTAAGAGATATAAGTACCCTTTTCTACCCCCATGAACATTTCAGAAATACCATGTAACCATTAAAACAAAGAGGTAAAACACACACACACACACACACACACACACACACACACACACACACACCCCTTTCCTTGCTTTAGTAAAATATTGTATTGTTTAGTCCTTACATCTCATTGTGTGACTTTGGACAGGTTACCACTTGCCTGGCTCAGCTCTTCTACTAGTAAGCTAGATTTAGGATATGTATATATACGTATACATACATATCCTAAATGTATACATACACTAAAAAGCTATGGGGAAATACTAAAATCCTAATATTATTTGTGGTAGATTTGGGCAAGATTTAGAATGATGTTTTCTTTTTTCACATTTTTTTTCTATAATGAAATCTGCTGCTGCTGCTGCTGCTGGTGGTTTGAGACATGGTTTTACTATGTAGCTCTGGCTACCCTGAAACTCACTATGCAGACCAGGCTGGTCATGAACTCTCAAGAGATCTGCCTCCTTATGCTTCCTGAATGCTGGGATTAAAGACTTGAAATATCATGCCCCAAGCCCACTCCTGGCTTGAAGTCATTTATTTTGAATGAAATACTTACATTTAACAAGCAAGTGAAAGAATGTTTTACCAAGGTCTAGATGTAAATGGGCCTTAAAAATACTTTTAGGGGATGGAGAGAGCTCAGCTTTTAAGAGGTCTTGGCTGCTCTTCCAGAAGACCTAGCTTTGAGTTCTAGAACCTATTTGGCAGTTCACAAAGGTCTCTAACTTTAATTACAGAGAACCCAATGCCCTCTTCTGGTTTCCATGGGCACCAGGCACACAAATAGTGAACAAACACATATGCAGGCAAAAGGGCCAAACACTTGTAATAAAAACAAACAGACAAACAAAACTTTTAACATCTTTTAAACATCTGAGACAAATCTCCTTACTATGAGTTACATACTTTCCTACTGTTAACTAAAGAAGACATCTTTAGTCACCACTAAGCTATAACTTCTAATTTTCACGATGGCATGAAGGGCCTCAGAAGCACCTACTAATCTTATAGACAAAGTCAATGAAGCTTATGTGAACAGGTCATTCTGGTTAGGCAATTTTCTTCTTAAATGAATGAGAGTAGATCTTGTGTGAAGTAAAGCTGAGACCCAAACCCAAACCACTGAAAATGGCTAACTCAATGTCACTTAGTTGTGAGGGTACCATAACATGAAGGGAAGCAGGTTTCTTTTGTGTGAACTGCCCCTACTGCTCTCCTGGAGGCCTGTTCCTCCTGCCCACTTTCTCTTGTTACTAGCTAGCTGAGCCTTTTTGCTTATGTGGTTCCACACACTGGGGAGTACAGTCAAGTGGAGCTGGCCCATTGTGCAGATGCAGAGCTCCTCGGGTCTCAGGTGCAGCCTGTCTCCAATGCCCTCATAAGTGAAATTCATTTTCTTACTAAAGCAAGCGCTGAAATGTAAGATGAAATTGTTTCTCTGTGACTAGACAGTCCAGAAGTCAGGGAAGGATAAGGGATGATGGTTACTTATGAATTTCACAATTTAGATGTAAACTAAAATCATTTCCTAAGTTTTTGCATATCTTTATGCTCCCAGAGAGAAACAAATCTCACGTCTCCATAGTTTTTACAGGAATCTAAAGTCACATGGATAAGTAGTTTATTGAGAGAGGCTTGAAGCATTTTCTCATCCAAATTAAATTTCTTCTACTCCTTGAGAGTCTGCTGAATCTAGAAAAGGCTTTTGGAAAGGACAGTAGTGTAAGACTTCAGAAAGAGGTAGCTACAACATATTCACATTAAGAAATTAAGTCCATTTGTTCCATGCAGAGTATACAATGTACCCACAGAATAATACAGAAACTGAGGTCATATATAGAAATGAGTCATGTACTTACTGTTTGAGATTTCTTCTTTTTCTTTTTCATTGACCTGAAAAAACCTTGCTTCTCCTTTTCTTTGAGTTGATCAGAATGACTAATATTTTCAGGGCTTTTCCTAAATGAGAAGACATTTTTATCATATGAATCTTTGAATCATTCTCTTGCCACTGTGTGACAAACATAATGAAGGCTGAAAATGTGTGATACCAGATTCAATCAGCCATGAAAAATCAAGCCCACAGGTAAAGGTCCTCTGAAAGGCACAGGAGGAACCAAGTCTAATCAGCATGGGGAATGGCTGTTCTTTAGCACAGGCTTGATCACACTAGCAATTTGAGCATTATTACAAATGGTCTGTAACTGCATTATGGGACCATTTTCCTGGTGTTGTTAGTCTCTGAATTAGAGATTCAGTAAAATGCATGGCTTAGAGAATGCCTCTCTGTAACCCTCCAAAGGAAAGAACAGAAACATTTTCAAAACCTTCAGTTTTTTATTTACCTTTTAAAAACAAGCTCAACAAGTTTATTATTAGTAGCTTGCCAAGTCACTAAAGACAAAAAAATCAATGCTGCTATAGAAACATTATAAACAGAAGCAAAATTTGCCCCAAACTGGAAAATTCCTATTTATTTATTAAACCTTTAATCTATTACACCTAAACAAAAAAAAGTACTCAAGGAAAAAAATGTAGACACAATGAATGCTCTAACACAGTATGTTGGGGGTGGGGGAGAACCCGTCTACCTGAAAATACTGATGTTAAGATTGGTACCACAGATAGCACTAGGTATTTTAATAAAAATAGAAGATATTCAAAATAGGAAGCAAGGCAGGTGTGGTGGCATATGCCTGCAATCCCAGCACTCAGGAGGCTGACATGGAGAGAGTGAGTTGAGGGCCAGTCAGGCTATCTACCAGGACTGACCCTGAAACAAAAACCCACTTTTCAAAAAAAAAAAATCCTAAAAGAGAAGGAAAAAGAAAAAGGAGAAAAAAAGGGGCAGTGGTAGAGTGGGATGTGTTTGTGTGGAGGCAGAGAACATCCTGGCTTTTGGCTTACACTCTTTAAAAAGCAAATCAACTGGTATTATTCTTGAAAAAAACACCTTTACATATTCCCTAAAAGTAAGAATGGTAGAATCGTTAAAAGTGACAGTTAATTTATATTCATGGTTTCAGAATACCTAACAGTGATGAAGTGATTATAATATCTAAGAAAATATGAGCAAAGCAGCACCCAGCTTATTTTATTAAAATATGTAAGCCAGAAAACTTCTAAATAAACCATTACTGGTTGCATGGCAGAAAACACAATGAAGCTATTAAAAATAAATCACATCTTCAAAGAATATCCACTGACATGAAAGAATATTTAAACTAAAATATTAAGCAAAAATAATGATTTCAAGCTTTCTACATCAGATAAGTCCAACTACATGACAATATAGGTTATACAAATTCACTTTCAATATTATTTGTTTATTTAATTTTTAAAGATGTATTGTTCGAGTGTTTATTCTGTCTGTATGTATGTGTACTACTGTGTGCCTGGAGCCCACAGAGGTCAGAAGAGGGTAGGAGATTCCTTGGAACTGGGGTTATGGATGGTTGTGAGTCACCATTTGCACTGGGAACCAAACCTGGATCCTTTGCAGGGACAATGAGTGCTCTTAACTCCTGAGCCATCCCTTCAGCCCTTAAACGCACTTTTTAAAATGTAGGAAGAAATTACAATAAACATCTTGGCTGGAGATGTGGCTCAGTGGAAGGGCATTTGCACAACATTCACAAGACCCTGGGTTCCATTGCAAGCACTGGGGGACAAAAATAGGCTCGGCCTTATGGCATATACTTGTATTCCTAACTATGACTCAGGTGGGAGCACTTTAGTGCATGTGCTTGAGAACAGTAGGTAACAAAGCGAGATTCCCCCTTCTCAAAAAAGACCCCCCTAAAACCCTTCAAAGCTCTATCTATGTAATAAAATTATTGATATTCTTTTTTAATTTCTGAGAACAAATACATCAACAAAGTGTTATATAGCACAGACTATTTCAGGGTTGGGAACATAGCTCAATTGGTGCTGATGTAGCTCAGTTAGTGGAATGTGCACCTAGCATGCACAAAGCCCTGTTTTTGACCCCAGAACCACAAAAACCAGACATGATGGCACACACCTGTAATCCTGGCACCCAGGAGCACCCCAGGTGTTCTGGAAATCCATTAGAACTTATAATTGTAAGCACCACTAAATAAGTTCCAAGTTCTGAAGCACAAGTTCTGTGATTCAATCCAGCCATACTGTAACAAATTTGGGAACTCAGAACAGTGCATTTATCACTTAGAAAGCTAGAAGCTTTAGATGTGGTTGCATGGGTGCGAATGGGATGATGGAAAGTTACAAGTTCTCTGGATGCAGTTGGTGTGTGGTTGGGGAAAACACTCTCTTCATGAACGCAATCTCAGGGGGCAAACTGGCATCAGGGCAGAATTTTAGTGCTAGCAGGAACGGAAAGAAGGCTGGAGATGCCACTCCTAGGAGGAAGTAGAATTCTCCCTGGGAAGATAAAAAGTCTAGCCAGGATGAAGTAGAGAATAATATGCAAGTGAGAGGCTGGAGAAGTCGAGGGGAGGAAGAGGAAGGGGGCAGGAAAACAGTTCAGAACTTGCACTTTGGCATTGCAGAGTTGGTTCTGGGAAAGAGAAGATGGATCAAAGACCATCCCCAGGGTCTTTAAGGCACTGAATAAACTACAGTCCAGGTGGGGCAGGAGAACTGAGTTAAACATTTTCAAACTGAAGCAGACCAAGTGGTAGGACTGAGAGGTAAGCAGGAAAAGATTCTAGGGGCCAAAAGAAAAAGGGAAATACATTACCCTTGAACAAGATGAAAGTTAGGACTGGAGCCTGAGTATGTCTGCATCACAAGGGACAGAAGAAATTAAGCCTGAGCAAAGAAGGGGAGACACAAAGAACAAAGCAGAACTGCACAGAAGCATACACAGAAAACCCAAAGCAAAAAGCCTGAGCGAGGAAGAGAAAGGGAGAGCAGCTATGGGGAACACAGGCACTTGGAAGGCTGTGTGGCACACAAAGGAAGAAAGAGCCTCGCACAAGCAGCACTGAGCCAACCAGGCAAGAGTGTGGCAACTACTGCCCTGTCTGGATTTGGGGCCTCTCTAATTTCACCCAGTACAGTGGGCAGCTTTGGGTGTCACACGAATTTCAGAGATGGGAGCTTTGAGAAGAGTTATGTATCCAGTCACCTAGCTCATCCCCTTGGGTAGTAGCTCTGATCAAAATAGTACGGCTATGGGGTGGAGGGAGGACACACGATGAAGGATGAAAAGGCAGGGTCTTACACAAAACTGTGACTCCTATGTCATCTAGTCCAAGAACTATTCCCATTAAAGGAGTCAAGACAAAGGAGGGAAGTTCAAAGACTCACTGCAATCAAGGAAGGGAGGAATTAAAGTTGATCACCATTTACTGAGCATTGTATTAGGTATTAGAGATAGAGAGAAAGCGATCAAGGAGCTGACCTCTCACTCAAACCGCTCCTAGACTCATGGTGCAGAGCAGAGGGGATGAGACAGCAGGGCCTCTGGACTTCTGTATAATCCCTCTGGGAGCAGCATAGACAGGGAGTGGAAGAGGTGGGGAGCATCGCTCTGTCACTTCCCCTGCCTCATCCCCTCCCCTGGCAGTAACTAAAGTGGTCAGTTCTTGTGGGACACAGGAAAATCAGACAGACTGCCAAGCTATAATGGACACAATATATTCATAACCCTGTAAAAAAAAAAACCTGTCATTATTCAAGTGAGCTTCACAGTTCTTTATTTCACCAGATGGATTTTTAATGAACTTAAAGTATCAATTTTAAACCCAATTTTGATGGCGGTTTTTCTAACCCATTTACATACTTTGTATTTATTTATTTATTTATTTGTTTGTTTGTTTGTTTATAGTAAATGTCATTCATTTTATGAGCATGCACTCTAAATGGATACCTATGATGCAGAGGATTTTCTCAGGTCTGTGAAATGATGAAACGCACCTGCTTTTACCCCATAGCTATTACTCGTGACCCTTCTCCCCTCTGCACACTGTGCTGTTAGCTGCAACCACAACTCATTCTAACGACTTCGGTTCAAACCGCTAAAACTGGGCAGAAGGAGGAATAAATAGCTTCCAAGTGAGGATTGAAGTGTCATCCTATTAGTAAAGATGATGCATCTGGCTGTATTAAGTCTATTTTTCTTGTTCTGAGATATTTTGGCTTATCTCCCATTTCTTAAGTGGGTTCAAGACAACCGAGATGGCCAGAATAACAGCTCTGGGTGTTAAACTACAATATCTATGTATTGTTTTTAAGTATGACATAGTACCTTGATCATTCCATTGCAGAAAATATGTACACTGTACAAATACTCTCTTCCCAGAAGAAATTTAAAGTGGTACTATCACAGAAAAAGACTGGCCTGAGGTTATGTGATAGTTTAAGAACAGGATTTTACCATGTTTCTCTAATAAGACTCTCTAATAATATGTTATCAAATGCATAGTTCTCTCAGATATAAAGAATATGGCAAACCAAAGAGATCTTAGTGAAGAAAAAAATCAAGATGAGTCAAGTTTAATTAAAGATTAGATCATGTTAGATGTGATGCATAAAGGAGATATGCCATAGAAACATTATCAGAAGGAGTAGGGAGCCAGTTCACAGCTGGGAATTCTGGAACCTTCTTGAACCACATAATAGCAATAATAGAGTAAGGATGACTTGACAACATCTTAGCTAAAGATTAACATCCCATCTGTACTTCTGATTCTTTTCAAAACAATCAATTATATATATATATATATGCACACACATACACATCTAAAGTCCTATTCAGACATGTTAGAACACATGGTTATCATACACTAGGCCCTACATTCAAGTCCCTACAACCAAACCAAATCAAACCCCTAAAACACACACACACACACACACACACACACACACACACACACACACACACCCGAGAAACACATTGCTAACAATGCCTACCCTACTTTTAGATTTCCTTTTTTGGAGGGGGATGGCATTGAGATAGAGTCTCACTACATAGCTTGGGCTAGCTTTAAACTGGCAATCCTCTTATCTCAGTTTCCCAAGTGTTGGAATTATAGGCCAATACTACCATGCCAGGCCAGTCCATACTTAAATTTTGATCTGACTAACCTAATTTTTAAAGGACTATGCTAGTCTATAACTGATACTGTTTTAGATTGTTACCACCTCATTATTCAACAAAGAAGCAAAAATAGTTCCCTCTGTGCATCTGTATTCTGACACTTCAGATATTATTCTTGAGGCTTGTCCAAGCCACAACTGAAAATGTCAACACTGAAAACTAACAAAAGCTCTACCTATTTGCTCATATTTTCTACACACTAGGGAGAAAAAAAAACAGTCACAAAGAGGCATGGAAGTTTACGAGCAAAGTTAGAAGCCAAACGGTCAATAAACCATGGAAAGATTAAATGACATTAAGCATAATAATCACAGCTACTAACATAATGAGCCTTTACATTGTTTTAGGTGTCTTTTATATACACTTAAAAAAAATTTTTTTTTTTCGTTTTTCGAGACAGGGTTTCTCTGTGTAGTTTTGGTGCCTGTCCTGGAACTCACTCTGTAGACCAGGCTAGCCTCGAACTCACAGAGGTCTGCCTGGCTCTGCCTCCTGAGTGCTGGGATTAAAGACGTGTGCCACCACCACCCGGCTACATTTAATTTTTACATCACTTAAATACCCTAAGAATTCTATGTGGGAAGTGCTAGTGTCCTTTGTCCCTGACCCATGTTACAGGGGTTTAGTACCAGTTGGGTTCTCTAACTTTGAAGCTTCAGTGTGTATGGAATGGGAATAGCCCCCACCTCAAAAGGGGCAACTATGAGAACTGAGACAATGCAAAGTGACAGTATCAAGTTCACTGTCAATAAAAGAATGAGTATGATAAAAGACGTATCTGATAATTAGAGTTTTTCTTTTACATGCTATTTAATAGAAATTTTGAACTTGAAAAAAATTATACCCTCCCCCCCACCCCCCGCAACATATCATGTTTTCCTTATTCTTAAGAAAGACCTAGTGGGGGAAAAAACACTAAAAAGTTTATCCTGCATGTCTTTGAATTCCCAGATCTACAATTAGTAAAAGGAAGAGTAAGAGCAAAGCAAAACACTCACCATGGATCGAATCCTGGTTGTCTTTTTGAATGATTGGTACCAGAACTGCTATCAGATGGCAGAGAAGAAACCCGGGTAGATACATTATTTTCATGGAAAGAATTGTCTGGTCGTGGAGATGGCACTGAATGAAGGAGAGAGAAAAGTTACTGAAGTACTTTTCTGCTTGAAGTAGCTCTAATGTTATTTCGCTGCATTTTCTTTCACATAAACAAAGTCAAAGTCCTCAACTGCCTTTCCAGAACTTTTTTTTTCCCTGAGGGTGGAAGTGGTTCAGATAAGTTTATCTCCTCAACTCTACATATTAACCTGCAGGGGTCAGTTATAAAGATTTCCAAACAGAACCCTGGGCTGTCAGCTGACACACAGCAGAGCATTTGAAGACAGTTTTAAATGGGACATCATTTAAAGTATGATTATTGTAGCCACCCCAACCCCACACCATGGTTTTTGACATTCTTTGAAGTTGAGTCTTTCTTATTACAGATCCAACTATGCAAAATCTATTCTTAGCCCAATATCATCCTTAACAATATGTGTACTGGGACACACAAATTACAGTTTAAGCCCTGACAATGCAATGGTGTGCTACTTAGATCTTTAAATTATAAGGAAATTTGGTCATTTGCACAAAAATACTATGCATTTTCTATATATTCTCATGCAAAAGTAAGCAGAAATAGAAACTATAATGTACTGAGTGATTTTTTGCTTTGGGGAAAAGGGTAACCATGTTTTTTTTTGTCAATTTCTAAAGTTAGCTGTATTGTAAATTTCATTACAAAAGTAATATGCACATTGTATATCAAGATCAGTGACACCAAGTAAGGAAGGGCTGTATGTAATTATAGTGCTCAAGAGGCTGAGGCAGGAGGACTGACATGAGTTCAAGGCCAGACTAGGTTATAGTAAGTTCCAGGTCATCCTGACTGGGTTCTAATATGGGATGTTGTCTCAAAACAACAACAATATATATGTGTATTTATACAGTGAATTACATACATGTATTGTAGTTTTTTAGGTAAATAGTTAATAGTATGATTCCTTGTCACTTTTTTAGATGTTATTACTGCTATTTTACCCACCTTCTTCTGTATTTACTTCAACTCTCCCTCCTCAAAGAGGCCCCCTTTTACATTTCCCTGCTCAGATCACTTATACCCTGCTATTCCCTTCTCTACTGCTCCCTAACGCCCCTATCTTGGCAATGATTCCATTTTAATTTCCTGGCTGCTGACCAGAGCACAGAGATCTGTGAGCTGGAACTGACCTAAATGCCCCTCTTTGAAGACAAGCTTTCACGGTACCAGAAGATGCCATCTAAGTTTCCAAAGGAGCACCAACAGTCCTGCTGTAGTGGTTTGAATAAGAATGGCTCATAGATTTGAATGCTTGGTTACCAGGGAGTGGCACTATTAGAAGGTGTGGCCTTGGAGTAGGTATGGCTTTGTTGGAGGAAGTGTGTCAATGGAGGATGAACTCTGAAGTTTTCATATGCTCAAGCCTATTCCATTTCTCTCTGCTCCTGCTGCCTACAGATTCAGATGTAGGACTCTCAGCTATCTCTCCAGCACCATGGCTGCCTGCATGCCACCATGCTTCCCGCCATGATGACAATGGACTAAACCTCTGAAACTGTAAGCGAGTCCCAATTAAATGTTTTCTTTATAAGAGTTGCCGTGGTCACAGTATCTCTTCACAGCAATAAAATCCTAATTACCCTAACTAACTATCCTAAAAATCCCAACTAACCTAACAGCTACCCAGCTATAATGCCTATGAACCACATCAAGGACCAGCATTGCACAATAATCCCAAGGATGCAATAGTGGTATGCATACCTTGCCAGTAACCAATAGCTCTCTAATTACACTGAAGACTGGCTCAACAAGAGGAAAACCATACCTGGTACTAGAAACCTAGCTAACTAATGAAGTGCTAGTGAAGTCATGGTTATTGGAGGAGAATCTACAACCACTAATTTACTAAATCATCATAACCCCTAACAACAATCTATAAACATTTGTTCTTATACCCACAGAGTAGTGTAGTCTTTACCCCTCATCAAAGAAACTTCTCTTTGCAATAGATGGAGACCACTACAGAAAACCACAACCAATCAAAATACAGAGTTGTGGAGCCTAGTCTTAATGGATACATCTATAATACACTCCTGAACCTGATGCTTCGGAAATATTGTGGAAGAGAGGGTGAAAAGATTTTAAGAGGCAGAGAATTAGGAAATTTGCTGTGAGATTATGTCTCCTAGGAACATAAGAAGCTATACCCATAAAGTCTCACCAACGTGCCTAAACATGAGTTGAACAATGACAACACCAAAGGATACACTAAAGTGGACAAGGAAAAGCCCAGGAGGCCTCGAGCCTACACCAAGAACTATAGGCAACTGAGGAAAGTTGGGAGCAGGAGAGGTGCCAAAAGGTCAGCCCTGAAAACATACATACAAGTAACATTATAGGACTGAGCAGGCTTTATTTAGGAGTACATATGTATATACGCATACATATATACATACAATAACAATTAGTGAAACAAGAGACCATGATTTTGAAAGACAGCAAGGTGAAGCATATGGGAGGGTTTGGATTGAGGGAAGAGAAGGGAGAAATGTTGTAATTATAATCTCAAAAATAAAATAAAAACAACAAAGTGACACCATTTCATTTGCCTCTGGATAAGAAAGAATGAACCTATTCTAGAAACATTGGTCTAGATATATCTGGAAATATTTGTCATTTTTTTAAACCACTATTTTTCTCTAGGACTTCCCAGTATTGTTGAAATAACAGATGTTTCCAGGTGTTTCATTTAGTTGAAACTTTCCTCTCTATTTCTGAACTTTTAAAAATTGAAATGTTCTACTTGCCAAATCTCCAAGTAGATTATAAGATAGATAAAGGAGGTATTTTTCCCATATTAACCAATACAATCCATTTGTAACCAAAATAGTATTTCCAAAAGTCAAAGACTAATTCATTGATTTAAAACTCTACTTCCACTTTATTTTAAAGTATTTCCTCTACGGGGCCTGATAGCACACACCTATAATTCCAGCACTTGAGACATAGAGACAGGAGGGTAGAAGTCAGCTGGAGCCCAACCTGGTCTACATTGTTAGACCCTCCCCCCAAAAGGATATTTTCTCCAATCATCTGTAGAAACAACGAAGTATAGGATATTTTTGAAGAAAAACTTACTTGAAGATGTTCTTACTCCTGTATAAGACAAAATTTTTTAATTAACTTTAATCTGAATTAAAAGTTCAGCCTTCTAAGATTCTAAAGTCATCATGGAACGGGGGCAGTCATTAAGAAGCATATTTGATGCCTAATGCTTTTCTAAAGGTAGAGCTGGGAGGGACCATAGTAGCCTAATCATTTAATACATATATATTCGTGAATAACACTTCTGTGTATTCATTCAGCTCAGATCCCAAATTTTAACAACCAAACAATTATCTGTGTCCCCTCTGACCCCAATTTCTGACCTTCTCCAGTTGTCTCTCTAAGACACCAGAAGGAGCAGGAAGTCAGGGAATGTGGACTTAAAAGTCAAGGCCGTGCTGAGTCTTACAGGCTTTGTACAGCTGAGCCTCCCGTCCATTTCTCCACCAAGGCACTGGGATTCTCAGATATCTGCTACTTTATCATTGCACGGTTACAAGCCAAAGGGGTTGCCTTTCTCTATTAATTCTTTCCTAAATTCACAGGACCTCAAAAACACCTCTCTTAGTCATCTGTTCAACAACAAAGTACATTTTTAAAGCTATGTAAATATTCTTGAATTTCTTCTTTAACTCAATTAATAAATGTTTTTGAAGCTGTGTGAGGTCGTCGGTGCCTCCCTCTTTCCTTTCCTCCTTCCCTCCCTCTGTCAAATGAACAGATTGGCATGGTGACTATCTACCTTCAGAAGGGTCGTTCTGAGGACTGTTTGGATGGGTACATGGAGACAGAGACCAGTCAGGGCTCAGACAGAAGAGACAAGGGACTGAACAAAGATGACGAGACCAGTGGCAAAGAGAACTGTTAGATGGTGGTAATGCAGGCAAGATTGCTGTTGGTCCAAAGTCCACTGGGGCAGTGAAAACATAGCGGTGGACGAGGAAAGGAGATGTACTCAGCAGAAAATAGAGGAGGACTCTAGGAAATATGGGGGGTGGCTTACCTCTATAAAAGCTACCAACTCTCCGTGGGACAGGATCATTGTACAGATGCCGATTTTCTTTGGGAGCCGTGCCATCGTCAGAGTGTGGGTCATGGTACACTCCAGCCTGAGGCAGGAAACAAGGTTATCAAAACTAAACCATGGATCGATGGTGGTGCTGCTTAGAACAAAGTCTAACCAGTGTCTACTACTTTTTTTATTATTTTAAAGGAAAACTTGGGTTTATGTCATGAAGAAAACTACTTACTTTCTAAGTCAGTTCAATTTATTTATGGGAAATTGGGCATGGATAAAGTTTAAGTTAGGCTGTAATGCCGCTGAGTGAACAGTCCTTACAGATCACTATAAGATGTAGCAACTCTAAAGCTCAGACCTCAGACTTCTGACGGGTGTGGAATGAAGAGGTGCCTTCTCTGGAGGACTCTTTAACAGAAGGTCTTGCCACAGTCATCTCTGGAGGGAGCTGTTCTCCAGGCTGCAAGTCAAATACAAAAAGATTTATAGAAACTTCCTACCCCTAGGGAAGACTCATCTTCATTTAATATAGTTAGGACCTAAACATCTAAAATAAAGATCATGGGGTGGCTTCAACCTAACCAATTTCATAAAAAAGTAAAGTATCTGATGGATGTAAAATAAGGCCAACAAATTTTAACAGATAGAAAGTGGGATTCTCATTAAAGTTAAGGCAAGTAAAGAATACATTAGTCTGAAAATAGTTCAATTAAATATTTAAAACAACAAAAGAAATCACCTTTCTATCTAGACAGTTACAGCTCCAAGCAGCAGTATGCTTAGAGAGTCTATCCGTCAATCTAAAAGTGCTCTTACAGACTTTAGGCTGAGTTCTCCGAAAGGAAAGATGCAGAGACAAAAGTATTTTCCTAGGAGACTAACAGTAGATGCAGATGAAAATAAATGTTTTTTTGTGAATGCAAAAAAAAGAAAAGGAATAATCCCTCTTAATGATTTTTGTCTTAAGAGTCCCCAACTTCTATAGTCTCTGGTGCTTCCTGCTCCTTCATATGCTCCAGGACAGCAGCTTATCTGTTCAATTCGTGGTTTAGGAATGATCATGATGGTGCCTGTCTCTAGAGATGCTCCTACTACTTAGCTCCTTGTCAATTAGGTGAGTCACAACCCCAGCACAGCATTGGGTCCTCAACAATACTGGAGGGAAAGACAATAAATCACATTTTCTACCCTGGGTGGGAATTAGAAGGAGTTAGATGGAGTTAGATGCATTTAGCATCTATATATTATGCACAAAAATTATCTCAAGCCTAGATGATATACATAAAATGTTTTACTTTAAAAACTGAAATAAGATTTGGTATTTCTCCCCCTTCCTTCCCACCACCATATTTAGAGAATTCTGGAAAGAATTTCATTTGGTATAGCCTTTCTTCTTTCTACTTTGCCACCTGTACTATTGACAAAGGCCCAGAGAAATACTTTTTTTTTTAAAGAAATGAGTTATTTACAATCAAACTAAACTCAGTAAGGGTCCCCATGCTTTTGAAAGTGGCTATAATACTTTACATGAGAATGAATGCCATGATTTACTCACCACTCTTGTTACCTTTCAAACATTCCAGCCACCTTCTAGTCTTTAATTGTGGCCTTTCTTAAGGCTTGGCACTGCACCTCCTGAACTGGACTTAAGTAACAGCTGGATCTGTGCTAAGCCCTAACAATTGTTTATAATTAGTTTATGACCACTATGTTCAGAAACTCTGTTTTCTGAATTCCCAGAGAGCCAGTCATTTCTCCATTTTCCAAGGGAGAATGCCTTTTGTTTTTCTTTTCTGTTTGACATTTGCCTAGATGCCAACACAATCTGCTTGATTCTGACCGCCAAGTCCCTTCTAGGGGCAGTGGTCAGGTCCTAGAGATCTTTCTAGATATTCCAGGTTCTCTTATCTCTGTAGTGAGTTCTCAAGGCCTCTTTGTCCATTCCCATAACTCCATTTAAAGGCCCTGCTAATACTCATCTCCTGCCCCACCCTTAACCAGGCACCAGGCCATCCTGCCAACATTTTATACTTGGGGACCTGAAGACTGCCTCAGAATCCCAGTTCCACTTTGAACTACTAGTTGGGGAAAGTTGGGCAGCTCAGCCATCTCCTGTGAGCCTCATCTGAGAGGAAAAACGATGGGTTAAGGAGCTCATAAATCCTGGTTCCAACTCTGAAAAGGAGCTCCTAGGAAAGAAACCCCGAAGGCTTCCTTCAACACTGCAGTGGACAAGTCCTGTTGTGTCTACTTTTGCACAGTCCTTGAGATCCACTTGGCTTTCATACTGGCACTCAATCCTGAATACTCTTCTCTTTACTTCGTGTGAGAATTGTGCACCTCTTACATTTTCATTTCAATAACGTGAAACCTGTTGGGATCCATGTAGCAGCCAGTCTCCTTGGAATATTTTCTCTCCCTTCAATCCTCTTTCCTGCTACTATCACTTTCCTCCCCAAGTGAAATCACAACCTCCTCAGAAGTGTCTGCTCAGATTCTACCTCCTGTGGGAGCCTCCAACAGGGCCCAGGCTGGACGGACAGAATTGCTTCCATCTTTCTTTTGACACACAAGCACACTTCTGCATGGCTACTGGAATGAAGTTTTACAGTATTCGAATAAATCATTTGTTGCCAAATGTCCCCTGCCATTTAACATACTTCAAAATGACAGGGACACTTTAATTTCATCTTTCCAATTAGGGCTTCCTGTGGTGCTTAGCTCTGCTTCACTCTTCAGCCATTCATCTGTCTACACAGGGCAGATGGTTAGCTGCACTGAAGCCCTTTCCGCCTGTTCCTGCTCACAGTGCTTTCTCCCTGTTTTCTATGCCTATGTGTAGCCAGTACTCTATTAATGTAGGCTTTAACGATTTCATAATTTAGCAGGTAAAGTGCTTGTCATGCAAACCCAATGGACTGAGTTAGATCCCTAGAACCCACATAAAAATGGTCAGGGAGAACCAACTCCACAAAGTTTTCCTATGGCTTTCACACGCATGTCATATGTACATTCCTTGCCCCATGTCATAGACATGTACACAATAATGAAGAAATACACAATTAAAAAAAACCAAAGAGCCAGAGAGATGGCTCAGCAATTAAGAGCATGAACTGCCCTTGCAGAAGACCTGAGTTTGGTTCCTAGGACCTATGATAGGCAGTTCACAACCACCTATAACTCCAGTTCCAAAGGTATGTGGCATCTCTGGCCTCTACAGGTACCTGCACTTATGTGCACATACCTAGACACAGATATACACATAAATACATAATTAAGAAAATCTTTTAAAAATAAAAAATACTGGGGAATTATCATTTACCCTGGCCTGAAGTTATACTTGTCTAGATTAAGATAAATTTAAAACTCAATTAAGATATTTGGTATTAAAAAACAAGTTTAAACAAATGTGGTTTAGAAAGATTATAGAAAAAAATGCAAAATTTTGAAATAACTAAAAGCTAATCCATATTTCTAATTTCAATGAAAAATGGTCTGTCAGCAAAATATGTCAGAAAGGAACATTTAAAAAATAGATTACTAAAACCAAACTTGAGATGTCTTGAGCACTCAACAACTGATTTAAACATTTAAATAATAAATATTATTATTATTGAGACAGAGTTTCACTGTGTAGCTCTGGCTGGCTTGGGACTCATTATGTAAACAAGGCTAGCCTTAAACTCATGAAGACCTGCCTGCCTGTGTCTCCCAAGTTCCCAAGTGCTGGGATGTGCCTTTGTATGTGCTACTAGTACACAGAGATACATTTTATTATTTTTTTAACAGAAATAATCCAAAGATTGCTTTCATTCACTGTCCCAATGAAAGCAAGGCTGATTGCAGTAGGAAAAACTGCATAGCAACCTTATAAATATTCCCTGTAACACTTCCCCAAGATAAGCCACCGGACAGATCAAAGTGGTACCTGGGGTGATAAGAGCTGCAAGCTGTTTGCTCTGGCCGCCATCCCTTGCCCTATGCTCAAGCTTCCATCAAGGCCTTTAGCTCTCACTTTGTCCCGGGTCACATACATGGAATGCCTGTGTGGACGTTGCTGAGAGGAGAAGGGGCTGGTGTAGCCTAGCCCATAAGAAAATGATTCATGAGGTGCAGACAGCGAATGTGAATGGCTGCTGTCCATGTGTTCAGGCAGCTTCAACTCTTCCATGGTTTTTGAGTGTCTGGTGGTAGTTCGGCGTGAGTCCAGTGTGCCCTCGTTTCGGTTATTTCTACCTGAAGGGCTGAGTAAAGTTCTTGTGTCACTGTGCCTGGTGGGGGTTGGGCTGGTGGGAGAGTTCAAGTCCAAGCAACTGGATGGGAAGTATCTACTGGTATTGGTCTCCGTGATTTGGGCTCTGGCTTCTGAAAGGTTGCTCACAGACTTGGAGTCACTCAACGCCCCATGGCTTTTGGCCTTCGTCCTGTAGGATGGACTCCTGGAGGACTGGGGAATGGTGTCGATATAGCTGTGCCGACTCTGCTTCTCACTAGGCTGCAGCGTCCCAGCTTTGCTCTGGGAGCTTTCCATGAACGAGTGCCTGTTCTGCTGAGATCTGCTGCTAGACTTGAGGTACTTGGTGCCTGGACCTTCTGAAGGCTTTGGGTCAATATTGAAGTCAAACTCTGTTTTGGACTTGGCTTCTTTTGGGCTGAGAAGGTGTGGTATGTTGTTGTTTGTGAGATCTTTGCTGGAAGACCCAGACTGGGTGCTTGCTTGGTAGGTTTTGGTGTGCATCGGACTGAGAGTAGCTCCAGCAAGGTTTCCATTCAGGAAGCTTTCATTTGCAGGAAGGCCTTCATCAGCCCGGGGCAGACCCACACTTAGGTTCTGAATGTCCTTGCTGTTGGATCTGTGGTGAGTCTGTAAAGCGGCACCCTTGCTGGACTGGCTTCTATGTTTAAAACAAAAGAGGCACATCAGTTTCCTTCAACAGGGGGCAAACAGTGCATAATGCTGAAAACAAATAAGCAAGCCAACAGTAAAGCCAAAGAAAACATACTAAAATGACTGGAAAGGCTTAGGAACACTGCGAAGGAAGGAGTGGAAAGAATTTAAGAGCTGGAGGATGTGAAGGAGTGCTGCTTTCTGGATCAGACATGGCTGTTCCACCATAATCTTCACCCGGAGAGGGCAAAGAGAAGGGGAGTCATAGTCTTTGATGGGGTAGTCACTGGTGCATTGCTCCCACTCCAGCTAACAAGCCCTTACCATGTTCAGGAAGGCAACCCTAATTAAATGCAGTAGGCTGGGCCCACACACGGCATGAAAGTCAGACAGGGACTTGGGAAGAAGGGGTTTGTTGGAAGGAGTAAGAGGGTGAGGAGATAATAGGAATATTTTGATCAAAGAATACTGTATGTGTGTGTGAGAGAGAGAGAGAAATGGGGGAGTGGGAAGGAGAGACTGTAAAAGAATAATTTTCTAAAGAGGTGAAAAATGACTAAAATCACTAACCCTCTTGAATATGTCTCTATCAAGAACAAGCTAGTTTCTCAGACTAAGTCACTCAACAATAAAGCACTTCCTATGAAGTTGTTTTGGCATCTTCAAATGCTCGTCTGCCTTGCTGGCTGCCAACACAGTCACTGAGAGAGTCAGGTAAAACATGCTTTGGCTAGGAGGGTCTAGTCCAGCACAGCTAGTAAGATTAATAAGACAGTCAGCTGGCTGCTGGCCACGCATCTGCTCAAATGGCAGAGGGCAACACTCAGACTGGATGGTTATTGTCTTCCTTGAACTTCACTTTCTTTGTAGACCCTGGAGGCTGCCTCAGGTACACACTCACAGTACCTACAACACACATGCCAACATCTCCATCTTCAGCCTGTATAGTCAATGAGGGAGAATTCTGATGATGTAGAAGAAAATGACACTCCGAAAGAAATGTGAACTGACTAGTGAGGGTTGTTGGAAAACATGATGATCTGTGTTTATGTTTTAGAGAAGTGGCAATTACTTGGGGCTCTTGAGATAACTCCTTGTACATTAAACAGAAATGCATCACTAACTGTTCAGATATTTCTGTGTAAACTAAACAGGAATCCTATACTGGAACACAAGGTCTTAAGTGCTAATTGCTTGGTAAAAGACACAATATAGTCTCTTCTTCATTTCACACTTCATTATTCCAAAGTGACTGAGCCCTTCTTTAGGACTTGAAGCTTCATTTCCTACCTAGTGTAATATACAAACAGTCACCTAGAGAGAACCCTTGTCTTCTGTTTGAAAGGCAAAATTGACATTCTAGAAGTCAGCTTGTTCTATTATAACTAACCAAAGGATGAGATTGTGGGTTTGAGATAGGTCCCAAAGTTAGTAATGATTTACAAAATTCCATTTTTTACTATGAATTCAGAAAATGTTGCAAGTATTACTACTGGTGAAGATGGATGGATTTGGAAGAATTTTTTCCCATCAGACACTAATTGGAAGAAAAGTCCTTCTGGGCTGTTGTTACTATTTTATAAGAATGGCAAACCACAAAACTCTGCCTTCTCATTTCCCCAGATTTGGAAAGGAATTACAAAGCCTAGTTAAGTTTTGTTTTCTGTTAAATGATGTACAGAACGATCCTCTAGATCAATAAAGTACAGTGCCATACATGATAGTGTCTGCAATACTGATTACAGGGATAGTAAAAGAATTTATCACACATATACACACACAGTATGGGGGGTAGAAAGAAAGAAATGAGGGGGTTATTGAGGTACATTAGAAAAAGTACCTTGGGCAAGCTCTGGGACAGACAGGATCTAGTGTTGGAATGAAGGATAATTTTTTTTGTAGCAGTCAAAAGGAAAGTGGCTAGGTCTTATCAGATGGTGCATCTGTGTCATATCTAGATGACTAGTGCACATTTCATAAATTTGCTAAGAAATAATTGTGTTCTTATTTAATGTTGAGCCTAGCTCTTAACAGCTGAGCCATCTCAGCCCAGCTGTTCCTTCTCCTTAATATTTGTTACCTATGTAAGGACATTGGGCATTACTAGGAGCCAGGCTCTAGATAGTTTGCTCTAAGACAGAGTGGAACTAGGGCTTACTATGCTTATTATGGCGAACTCTGACAAGATAATGGTCCTGCTTGCAGACAGACAACAGTCTTTTTCTGAGCTCCACCTGCTCTGATGTTACAATAGCTCAGCAGTGCACTTCATCCAACAGCATATAGCCAGTCTATGTACCCTAAAGACATCAGGTTTTAAACCACCAGAGTTGCCTGATTACTTACATCTTGGTAACCCAAATATCTCAGCAACTTCTCAAAAACTCAATTATGATATATAGTCTTATCCACAGATACAGCTGGGTAAGTATGTTGGCTATTCTCCACTCCTCTATCCAGTCCTAGGCCCTAAGAGCACAGCACTGGAGACTAGGTCCCTCAGGCTCCTGGCTGGCTATCTTCTGGAAGGGCTGACCAGGGGAAGGAAGTATCACAGGAAAAGGGAATGGAGGCTGGGGGTGGAGGCAGACTTCCCTCTGTCTTCCTGACCAGGCACCCTTACTCAGGTCCTAGTTCAATCCTTCCACAGGGCTCCTTGTGCCAAATTCTAGCTCCCCTGGAATCCTATTTTCTCCCTTTTCCCTGCACGTGAAGATACAGCAATGGCAGAAGTACTCTAACTTCAAAAGAGGACCAGGAAGGGGTGAAGAACAGTGAAGAAGTCTCTTAGAGCTGCAAGAACCCTTAGAAGTACTACTACATGAGACTACATGTGATCTTACACACACTCACAGCAACAGAACAGAAGGAAAGCTATAAAGTAAGGCAGAAACAGTTGTTAAAAATCTAAACTTGTCATAAATAAACAGCTACTCTTCATGTTTCCATCTCAGGATTAATTGGAAGCTACTGAGCTTTAGACATACAATAATTTCTATGTAGAAAGGGCATCACATTATCTTCACGTTGGAGCTCTGCCAAAGCATAACAACAAAGAGCAGCTTTGAAAATTGCATAGATCTTGTCAACACACAACTGCGAAGAATCTGTATTAAACTGCCAGCCACTTAAAAAGATTTCATGTGTAAATCACTCAATCACTTGTTTGTTTTAGAGACGGGTACTTGTGTTGTCTACATTAGCCTCAAACTGCTCAAGGCTGGCCTTGAATTCACGATTCTCCCGTTTCCACTTCCTGAGTGCTGGAATTACATGTGTGCACTACTGTGTGGCTATAAATCACTCTCAAATGGTTGGCAGAGTAGATAAATGAATAGACAGTTAATGTGTTTATTTAAAATAAGTTTAAAAGCAAAAATAGCCAGGCATGGTGATATAAACCTATAAACCCAGCACTTAGAAGGCTGAAGGACAGCTGCGAGTTCAAGGCCAGATTGGTACATTCCATAAATGGACAAGCAAGCAGAGACAGAGGCACAAAACTGTATTAGTAGGGAGCAGGTGGTAAAGCAGGACCATTGAGAGGACTCACAGTCAAAATGACATCACACCATGCACAGGGTGAAAGGAACCTTAGAAGAGCCTGCAGGTGACATGCAGCGACTGAAGAATGATTGAGTCTACTGCCTCCTAGAGAGAAAATGACTTGGGATGTGGGGTGACAGTGCATCTCCAGGGACAGGGTAGAGGAGTATGTGAGCAACAACCAACAGACAGAGTATTATGAACACATCTAAAATGGTCTTAGAAGGCCTGTGTTGAGACACCAGCTAGAATTCATATCCCTGGCAAGATAGGCTTCTGTGGAGTAAGTACGGACAAGAGTGGGGAGAAAGGCATCAGACGATGTAAGATTACTAAAAGAGAAACCACTCAGGACTTGCCCTTTTGATATATTCAATAAATCACCAAGACCTGAAAACGAACTCTTCTAGAAATCTTTCTTTCCTTACAATTCCTACTGTCAAGTTAGTCTTTGCAAGACTAACAACATACAGGTCTCCTTTCAGACTACAGATTACACCATTGATGACTACAGTACAACTCACAAATTTATCACTGCTCTACCAAACTTTACATCATTGGGATAATTTTCTTTGTAAATGTAAATTTGAGAAGTCATGTGGCAATTCAAGTAGAAGGGAGACTGAAAGCCACAACCCAAGCCAGGCGTGATCCCAGAGAAGATACAAGAATAATGGTAACCAGCCAAGTGCAAAGGAGCAACCAAATGATGACAGTTACCTCGAGGCTTAGCATACTACAATCTTGCAGATAGGAACAGTGAACAAACCAGGTAAGAACAGCTGAAAGCTGTGCCAGAACAAGTAGCTGTCTCGAAGAGTAAACAGCTCTGCACCAGTCGGGCTTTCATGGCTAAGGAGAACAAACTGGGGACCAATGCTTCTCCTAATTTATGGATGCCCTCCCAGGCCTCAAAGTGCTAGTTCTTGGCCTTTCAAAATTCCAGTCTATTAAGAATAATTTTCCATATACAGAAGGAAAATTTGTGTGTGTGTGTGTGTGTGTGTGTGTGTGTGTGTGTGTGTGTGTGTAGTATTCAAATTTTAAAAGCTTCATTGTTTTTGATTTCTTACGTGAAATAAATTACTTCTACATCCCATATATAAAAATCCTCAGATGCCAAAACTGGGTTCTAGAGGATGAAGGAAGACAGGGAGGTTGCACAGAAGACCATTCTCCTGGAACGGCAGTGACAGAATTGGGGGATGTCAGTATAGGAAAGGCAATCTAACTGATCCAATAGAGGGGAGGAGGAGGAAGAAGGGGAGGGAGGGAGGGAGGGAGGGAAGAAGGAAGAGAGGGGATGGAGAGAGGGGAGGGAGGGAGGGAGGGAGAGGGAGAGGGAGACGGGGGGGGGGGGGGGGGGAGAGAGAGAGAGAGAGAGAGAGAGAGAGAGAGAGAGAGAGAAGTTTTAAGCCAGATGTGGTGACAAGCCTGTAATCCTGACACTCAGGAAAGAGAGGCAGGAGGAACCAGCCAGCCTGAAGCCTGTCTGATTACCTAATGAGTTTCTCAGGGCTAGGATTACAGGTGTGCCCAGGCAAGAAACAAATATTTAAAAATACTATGCTCAAAAAGCAATTTTTAAAACATACTACTTTTAATTATTGACATCGCTCTTTTCATACACTTATTTTTATAAAAAAAAACCCTTATTTTTCAACTCAATGACTAAAAGGCAAGAACACTCAAATCACAAAACCCTTCTAAAGAAGCTTCCTATTTGGTTCAGTTGCACTGTCCCCCACATATGTGTTTAGTGTCTTCTTTTCCTTCCCTGTCATTTACACAACATCTGCTAGGTCTTAATGCTGGAAACCTCCTGAGTTGCTAACTCAGTGCTACCTTTCCAAGGGAACACAAAGGTTTTCTTCATCTACTTGTTAAATATAAGAAAGTCTTTAAGAGTCCCACACGACTCTTTAATTATAGTTCTGAATCATGTAATAAGCATGCAGAAGCTATTTTTGAATAAAGAGGGCTTTCCTTCTTTTCTCTAATTGCATAATTTTAGCAGCCACCTCCTCCACCTACTTATAAGACTACGACTGCATTTGTATTCCCTTAGAAGGGAATATTTACCTATTAGACAGTGTGCTGCTTTCCACATGATAAGGTTTCCTTTTCGTTGACCTTGAAGGAGACCGATCCAAAAGTCTCTGGCTTTGAAATGTAGGGTGATTCAAACACTGTTCTGTCAAGTATCTGTCAGCTGGGTCCAACTTCAGTAAATTCTTAGGAAATAAAAGTTTAAGAATGGAAAGAACAAAGTTGAATTTAACTCTACCAAATACCTTTTCCTCCTAGAAAAGAAATATGTAGTCACTTCAAAATACTTAGCAACAATAACTCAAGGAAAGAAAAACATCATCCAAATCACCCACAGTCTCACAATTATAATCCTCTTGGTAGAAATCTTTCTAGCCCTGCTTGTGAATACCATATATAGTCTTTCTTCTATAATACCGGGATCATGATATACACTTGTTTTTATATCCCATTCTTTTCACTTACTTATAAAAAACATTTTGCAATATAACTTCAATATTTAAAAATCTTTTTAATAAGTATATATTTATATCCTTCATCTTTCTACTGTCTTCAAGATACCCAGTTATTCTCTCTGGAGACAGCTCACATCACTAGTTCCCTGTGCATTATATGAGGGGTATGTGTATATATATATATATATATATATATATATATATATATATATATATATATATACACTCTATATATATGGTATATTCTGCACATACTTTCATCTGATTCTTTTCATTTTACCACAGTAGTTTAAGCACATAACTGTATGTATTTAGTTTCCCTTCCACTTAGCACACAATGTTGAGTTCATTCCATAAAGTGCAGAGCTTTAACTCTGTGTGTATACTTTATACTTTGTTTCCAGAATTCCCAAAAGACAAATAGGTTGTTTCCTTTTCCTGAACCATCTGGCAACACACTATCTTACAATATGCTTTTTGGGAAGAGTGGAGTGCATTACAACTAAGCTACATCTTCAGACCTTTCAAGGCTTTCAATGATTGTGTAGAAGCTTGTGCTATGGCTCTATCATGATTTACTTAGGAAGCATCCTACTACTAGACATTTGACTGATAGCCACTTTTCACTATTATGATTAATGCTATGACAAAAAACACTTGAGACCTAATGGATTCTTAAAGGTGGCACTGGTAGGTATGCAAAGCTTTAAAGAATCTTTCCTCCATCCTGCTAAATTACCACTTAGGACGGTTGTCTCAAATTATGCTCCTCTCACAAAGTATAGGAGCCTATCAATTTCTAGACACCCTCACCAACAATAAGCATTCTCATTCTTCTTGGTAGCTGTAAATCAGATCAGGTATTTTAAAAGATACTATCTCACAACTGTTTAAAATTATTATTTTATGCGTGCGTGTGTGTGTGTGTGTGTGTGTGTGTGTGTGTGTGTGTGTGTGTGTGTAATTGCCCTCAGAGGCTGGAAAAGGACACGATCCCCCTGGAACTGGAGTTACAGGTGGCTGTGAGCCATCCAATATAGGTGCTAGGAACTAAACTTGGGTCCACTGCAAGAGCTGCAAGTGCCTTTAATCCCCAAATCATTGCTGCAGTCCCTCTTACAGACGTTGTACCTCCTGTCTTTGGCTGTTAGCAAGGCTGAATACTTTTACATGCTTACCAGTTACTTACATACTCTCTTCATGTACTTTCCTGTGTCTGCAGCTATCTTTACTTAGTTCTGAATCATCTTTGTTCATTAAGGCACTAGCCCTCTGTTTTATGTTGAATGCACTAGAACTTTCACAACTGAAATGTTTTCACCCAAAATTGTTTATCTTAGCTGGATAGGATTTTTTATTTTGATTTATAAAATGATCAAATATCTTTAAAAAATAACCAACATACACAGCATAATGAAGTACTGAAATTCAGTCTTCTAGGTATTTGTTATTTCCTCTCAGAAAAAGGAGGAAGGGTAAAATTCCATCATTTACAAATTCACTTCTAGTCCAGTTTGATCTTATCCATAATTAACACTTTTAGTTAACTAGTGAGAGCAAATTTGCTCCCAATAAGCCAGACTTCAATTTTAACCTAGCACCACAGAACATTTCAATTCTGGTCCTACCAGATACTGACATATTCATTTTGATCCAAAGATTCTAATTATTGAAACTCAACCACTAATTATGCTCCAGTGAATTTATGTCCATATTAATTCAGACACAATTGCAAACTTAATTCTTTCCCCCCTTATTATAGAACAAAAACTGTGATGGTTTTAACTAGTATTTCCAACAGCTACCATTAAAATGGTTTCAAATATAAGACGCTGATTAAAAAGAAAAATCAGCCTCCAAGTCTTTTTAAATTCAAAACACCGATGACCTTTCAGAAGTATTGGTGCTGTTTTAACTTATTTGATAGCATGTAGAAGTTACTATACATATAAAAACTGTATTCATATGCTATGAATACAATTACTCTAAAGCATGAAGACCACAGAAGCAAAGTATGAAATTTATCTAGCTAACAGTTAAAAAAATTAGCATGTGTGTGTGGGAGGCATCTCCCCACACTAATGTAAACTAATTTTTTTTAAACTAATGTAAAGCAAATACAATTATTGTAGTTATTTTTTAAATTATTAAGGGCATCGGTGTGCATTAATTCCAGTGCTTGTATCTTTACTAAAGTGGCAGCTAGAAAGAGGTACAAAATGAGATAAACATTTTAAGTATTAGATGTGGACACAACTAACATACACTTAGGGAGCAGCAAAGAGGCTAGCTGGAAGGACAATGGAGGCTCTCCATCTTTAAAATCCACCTCCAAAAAGAGATAAAAAGAATGGCGGTATTTGTGTGTGTGTATAATTCTATAATAATTAGGCAATATTAATCAGTGACAGAAATCAAAATCATGGTTTCTGAAGGAGGCAGAGTGGGCCAGGATGGTAAGACCTAGGAAGGACCCAAAGGAGGCTTCTAGGATATTAACTAAGTTTCTATGTCTCAATCCAGGTAAGGTAACAAAAATATGCTCACATTTATAAAAACTCAGAGATGTAGACATAATTTGAATGTGTAGTTCGTGTGTGTGTGTGTGTGTGTGTGTGTGTGTGCATGTGCATATGTGTGTTTTGCATGAATGTATGTGTGCACACTTATTTGTACAGTGCCTGCAGTGGTCAGAAGAGGGTATCTGATCCCCTAGAACTGGAGTTAAAAATGGTGTGAGCTGCCACGTGGATGTTGGAAATTGAATCTGGGTCCTGTGGAAGAGCAGTCAGTGCACTGAGCCATCTCTCTAGGCCCCTGAATTTGTATTTTAATAAAAACACTTGCTTAATTTTAGAGAACAGTGACAATAAACATATTAAATAATAGGAATTAGAATGTTTACTTTCCAAGCCCTTTCCTCCTTCCAAACCCTGCCTGATAGCCCTCTTCACTCTCCTTCAAATTCATGGCCTCTTTTGCTCACTAATCATCATTGCATTTTAACTAAAGAAAAAAGTCAGGAAACATAAAATTGTATTTAATGCCATTTTTCTACTCTGTTCTAGTTATATTTTAAAAGTTACTAAATGAGTAAGGCCCAAATTGACAAGTATTGGCTACATGAAAGAAGGTATTGGCAAAACCAACTGATTTTCCTAATAATTTATGTTGAATTAAATTGAAAGAGTGTTGAGGGGTCATTAGAAAAAAAACTAGCAGTTCTCAATCTGTGAATAACATCAGTGCTTTATTAGAGCTTCATACAACACAGTATTTGGTATTTAATTAAATTTGGGAAATGTTGAAATAGAAATGCTTTACTGTAAGACTCAGAAATTCTTTATAGGTTAATAAACTCTGTGCATCTCTAGAAAGGTTATATGGTATGTGGCTTCTCCTAAATGTCAGAGCCCTTCTTCCACATCTGCCCCCACACCTACTTACACTGTTCACTGGGACAGATGTGAACATACCATAAAACACAGCAAAGTTCTAAGAACACAGCTCAGTAACTTGCCACCATGCTAAACATGCCTTTTACAGTTTCTGCACACAGTGTAGCTGCCACATTTTGACAGGTGAATGAATGAGCATAAAACAAAAACTGATTCATAATCAAGCACTGAAGTTCTACTCTGAAACAATCAATGTTTGCCTGTACATTTACTACCTGCAACGAAAAAAGGGAAACTACGAAAAATAGTTTGTACTCAAGGGACTACCATCTACTGAGGTGGAAAAATCTTTATTTGCTTGCTTATTTTTGAGACAGGGTCTTTGTAGCTCAAGCTAGCCTCAAACTTAGGAGAGGCCCTCTTGTCTCAGCCTCCCAAATTCTGAAACTAAAAGCATGTGCTACTATACCCAGCAAGAAAATCTTTAATAAATAATTTTGGGGCTGAAGAGGTGGCTCAGTGGTTAAGAGCACTGCCTCCTCTTCCAGAGGACCTGGGTCTGATTCCTAGCACCCACATGGCAGCTCACAACAGCCTTTAACTCCAGTCCTAGGAGATCTGATGCCTTCTTTTAGCCTCTGTAGGCACTGCATGCCATGGTGTAAAGACAGATATGCAGACAAAACACACATACACACACACACACACACACACACACACACACACACACACACACACACACATCTTTAAAAAATGGATTTTGAGGATTTTTTAGTAGTTTGGAGTAGGATGTCTTTTGACAGGAGGAACGAACACTCAGGTCATAATGTTAGTAATGATCCTGATACATCTAAAAAAAAGTCAGAAAGAGCAATCTTTCTAGGGGAGAAGAGGCTCAGTCAGAGAAAAAAAAAAGAATTAGACTCACTGATTAAATCTGTATAAACCATGAGTAGCCTTCAGTGTTGTATAAAAACAATTATAGAATCTTTTTGTCTTACAACATTCACTTTAAGATTTGTTTTAAAATGTAAACGTGAGTAGTTCTTGAGTGCCAACAGATTTTCATCATTCTGTCCATTTTAGGAAAGTAATTTAGGGATTACATGCTCTTCTCTAGATGGACTGAGACAACACCAGATTTCTGTTGCAATTACAAACAAATTACATGCCTTTTAACATGACATACTCCCCATTAATCATCTACTAACAAAACATTTAATTCATAAAAGCAGGCTATGGTACCAAGTAGGCAGAGGAGAATCCACAAACCAAAGGGCTTTTTTTTTTTGTAGAAACATATACTTTTCTTACCTTCATAAGGTCAAGTAAAACACTATTTAAAATTCCAAGGTATCTTCTCTCTAATGACTGAGGATGGTTAACAGCCGGAAACTGTAAGGACAACACAGTATGGATATTAGCATTTGGGGAAGTATATGTGTACATACATTTGTGGGGGTTACATAAGGCATCATTTGGACAGAAATCATTGCCCTTGAGTCAATCCAAGTCAAATTACTATTTGTATATTACTTTTTGTATCTATATATTTTAGATATGAATTAATAGGACCAAATATTAAATATTAGGAAAACTTACAGGTGAAAGATGATACCTAAAGCTAGAGAGACAATATTAAAGCTCAAAAAATGAATAAAAGTCTGAGCCTGTATATTTAATAGAATCTTGTTTGCTTATACAACTTGCTTCTAAAACAACTTATAGACAAACTGTCTGTTTCAACAGACAATTCTCAATACTGACAGACTGGAGAACTAACAGAAGGGCCATGATATGATATCATATGAAGACGTATTGGCTTTTCCACAAGAATATGTAATTTACTCCTGAAAATGGAGACATAAGAAAGGAAAAAAGGCAGCAAGAGGCCAGAACCTGAAAGGCTCCATTTGAAATGGTGAACTTAAGCACATGTCCTATTATTGTTTTTAATATACTCGTCTAATGATTTACATTAAAAACCTTATGTTAAAGTTGTAACAGAGGGCAAACATAGGCACCTATATCAACAAATGCATTTCTAAATAAAGTAAGGGGTTGGTGCTTATTTTGATGCTGTTTCCTTTCTTCTACCAATTCCCACTTGGCAATACCTTGAGTGGTATTGAAGCAGTGGGTAAGACACTGGCAGAGGCCAAGCATTTATACACCTTCCAAATGTTGAGTGCTAGTTTGCTTACAATACATATTTCCTTTATACCAACATAGGAACAGTTCAAAATACAGAAATCTTTAAATATGCTGAATAAAAGGACCAAGGAACTAATTCTATAGTAACATCAAACAAAATATTAAGAAATATTTATGCTACCATTCCCACATTATAGTCTGTAGGGCAAGAGACACACTTGAGAAATTTGTTGCCTGGTTGAAAAGGAATTAACTGTGCACCTGTAAAAGAGAGGCTAAAGACAGGCATGGTAGCATACACCTGTAGTCTCAGCACTCAAGTGGTTGAGACAGAAAGATCTTGGGTTCAAGGTCATCTTGAGATACATAGTGAGAACCTATGGCTGCAGAAGAACCTGTGGATATCTTGAACTCGTGTACCACATACACTTCTTTTCTTTCCCCAGGAATGACATTTCAGTGATAAGAAAATTAATTATGAAAGCTAAAAGGTCTTAGAAAGATCAGAATAAACAAAATTGACCAGGACAGGGAGTTTTCTGTGAGATTGTGTCTCCTAGGAATGTCAGAAGCTACATGCATTAAGTCTCACCAACATGACTGTCCAAACATGAGTTGAACAAGGAGGACATCAATAGACATGCTAATGTGGACAAGGAAAGCTCACATGGCTTCAGCCCTGTACAAGGAACTACAAGGAACTAAGGAATGTTGAGAGCAGGAGAAACAGGTTTTCCTAGCGAAGAGTGCAAAAATTAGTTATACCATACCAAACTTTGGTGAGCCTTGGAAACATACATACAAGTAACAATATATAGATAGAGCAGGCTATAAATAAATACACACAGACACAGTCTGACAGATACACACACACACACACACACACACACACACACACACACACACACACACACACACGCATGTCCCAACAATTAATGGAAAAAGAGGCCATGAATTTGAAAGAGAGCAAGGACTGGTACATGGGAAGGCTTGGAGGAAGGAAAGGGAAGGGAGAAATGATACAATAGTTTGGAGGGAGGAAAGGGAAGGGAAAATGATGCAATCACATTATAATCTTAAAACATATAAAAATTAAATTTTAAAAAACAACCAGGCAAACTCTCAACTTAAAAAAATATAATGTATATGCTGCTGAATGAAATCTGTTATTCTAATATGAGATAATTCAACAAAGAGCCAAAGCTCGAGCATACAGTTTAAAACTATATCCTAGTTTTTTACTTTCCTAATCATTTGGCTAATAAAATACAATGTGAGAGAGTACCTCTTTACTGAGCACTATCTATATACTGCATGCTGGTCTGGGAATTTTGTTCATTTTCAATGCTAGAGATGGAACTCAGGGCTGCAGGCATGCTAGGCAAGCACTCTACTATGTAGGTATACCCTGGCCCTTAGGGGATTTCTCATAGATCATTTCATCTTCATCACAACCTATCACTATTTCACATGTGAAGAAAAGAGAGACACAAGAGAATGAAATAGCTTCTGGAAGTTATTGAAGGTAGTAAATATGGGGACTCTAATGTACTCCTTCCATTATGGTACATCAATAATTACTTTTCCAAATAATGAATGTAAGTAGAATGGCATGTTGTGGATTTTCCAGTCTCTATACAAGTGGATCCAAATCCGCATCACGCTGGATTTGTTCCTGGTTTGTTCCTGGTTTGCAGCAAATGCAGTTCATAGACCCTATGTGCTTTGCTATCTATCACAGACAATCTCAAAATATATCATAAAGGAAAACTTTTCCCTCAAAAGATATTTAAACCTCTAAAGAGACTGCACTAATTTTGTTAAGCCACCATGAACACTTCAGACTGAAATGCAAACATAGTAAAGTCTATATAAAAATCCCTCCCTGAAGCAGCAACCTCCCCAAAGGCTATTTCCAAACAGAGCTGTCACATGCTATCTAGCCTTCTACAGACACTGTTGTTTAGGAGGAGGTCTGTGAACAGACAGGACTACAGACAAAAGAGAAAAAGATGATTTTTGTGGGTCCTCTAAATTTGAATGCGGCCTCTACTTCAAATGTGATTTATTCTTCAAAGATCCACCTTAAATTTCAAATCTGCCATAAAGCTGTTCTAATGAAACGCCAGATATGATTTCTAACTTTCCAGAATGTGAGACATGCTCATGGTCCAAATCACAATGAAATATGTTAGAAGCAGAATAATGAAGTGGAATGCAGTGTATTATGCTTTCCGATAAATTTCTAGCTTACTAATTGATTCAGTATGAAATTCTTTTTGTGCTTTATACTAGTAGTTTGGGTTTTCTTTTCCTCTGTGAAATTCTCATATCTGTGTGGCATAAGCAAAGCCTATAATACCTGCACTGAAGATGTTGAAATCATGAGGGCAAGGCAGTCTGAGCTACATAGAGTTTCAGGCCAGCCCTGGATATTTAGTAAGACTCTGTCTCCAAAAACCAAAAAGAAAAATCTAGCATCTATTAAGAACTGAAAAAACAAACAAACAAACAAACAAACAAAAAACACTAGACATCCAAACCCCAGATCATTCAATCAACAAATGGGTAAATGAACTGAACACATTTCTCAAAAGAAGATATATAAAAAGCCAATAAATATTTTTAAAAAAGGCTCACAACCTTAGCTATGAGAGAAATGCCAATTAAAAGTGCCTTGAGATTCTATCTTATCCCAGTCAAAATTAAGAAAATGACAGCAAATGCTGGTGAGGATGTGGGGAAAGAGGAATTCTTAGTCACTGGAAATAGGAATGTCAACTTCTGCAGCTATTATAGAAATTAGTATGGAGGGTCTTCAAAAAAGCTGAAAACTACCATCTGACCTATCAGCTATATCACTCTTGGGTATCTGCCCCAAAGGAATTGACAATGGCATACCACAGAGTTACCAAAATATCCATATTTAATGCATCACTACTCACAATTGCAAAGATACAGGTCCAGCCTAGATGCCTACCAAAGATGAACAGAAAAAACATGACATATATGTACAATGGAATCTTATTTAGTCATTTTGAAATTCAAACCAAATTGAAACGATGTCAGCTGTAGAGAAATGGATGAATGGAAGATAATCATGTGAAACAAAATAAGCCACATTTGAGAAAGCAAATACAACCTTTCCTTTCACACGTGAAATGTAGATTTCACTATGAGGCAGAAAGAAGCAGTCTGGACAGAGCAGGGGATGAGACAAGCCAGGATAGTGGGGAAAGAAAGAATAAATCACGTTTTCTCTTGTATGCAGAATCTAGATGCGTGTGTGCCTGTGTGTGTGTGTGTGTGTGTGTGTGTGTGTGTGTGTGTGTGTGTGTGTGTGTGTGTGTGTAAAAAGCAAGAAGAGGACTATTGGGAGGGGTAGGTCTGCTGTGGATATCGCTCTGTATGCTGTGAATGTGTTGCTCTGATTGGTTAATAAATAAAGTGCTGATTGGCCAGCAGCCAGGCAGGAAGTATAGTATAGGCGGGACAAAGAGAGAGGATAATTCTGGGAAGAGGAAGGCTGAGTCAGGAATCGCCAGCCAGACACAGAAGAAGCAAAATGTGAAGGCAGAACTGGGAAAAGGTACCAAGCCACACGGCTAAACATAAATAAGAATTATGGGTTAATTTAGGTGTAAGAGCTAGTCAATAGTTAGCCTGAGCTAATGGCCGAACAGTTTTAATTAATATAAGCCTCTGTGTTTTTACTTGGGACAGCGGGGCCACAGGAGCCGGGCAGGACCAGAAAAACCGCAGCTACATAGGTCAAAGGGGCCAGCAAGAGAGGGGATGGGGAAGGGCAATGAGGGTGGTAAATAAGAGCAAGATACAATGATACACATGCATGAATACAAAGAAAATTATTTTGCATGCGAACTAAAAGAATAGAAAAAAATAAAGTTGGGGGGGATAAAGAAAAGAATACATCTTAATTCCTTAGTTTCTAAGTTATTGGGTAGATCTAGAAATGTCAAAATCTGCTCACCATTCAGATTCTGTGGCACAGACCTTCTAACCTGGCCTGTAATAAATCAACTAGCAGACCAAATTTAATGACATTACATAGCAACCAACTATTTATTCAATACTATGCAATCTAGGTGATACCATTTTAGGTGTGCTATATGAATGGAACAGTTTCGTTCCTAAAGAAAGTCATGAGTCTGGTGAGGAGGCATATTTGCAAACAGCTACTTAATTGAGTATTAATGGGTATGACAAAAAAGAAAAATGTGATCCGAGTGCTATAGGAATTTAAAACAGCCTCTAGAAGAGAGTCACAGGCTTTGAGGTCAGTGCCCGGAGCACTAGAGATGTGTATTGTGCAGCACTACAGGAGACACATGTCATGCCAAACAAATTGTGGGAGGTTCCCAGTGGCCTGAGAACATAGGAAAGAAAGCAGGACAGGTGATGATGAGGCCAGAGGGCCTTTACTGCTACCCTAAAGAGTCTAAACTTTTAACAGAAATCACAGGAAGTTTTAAGCAAAAGGGAGACAGATTTAAATGTGTGATTAGAGAGAAAGTTTAAGAGATCAGTTTGGAAATAACTCAGAGCTCAGGTAAGGTTGATGGGGTGAAAGGAGCATTAGAGGCAGAGAGAAAGGAAATGCAATTGAATTTGAGTGCTGATGGCACAGACTGACTCAGTCATTCAGTGAATATCTACCACACACATGATGGTTAAGTGTTCATTGTCAACCTGACAGAAATCTAGAATTTCCTGGAAGAAGGGCCTCTGAGCATGTCTGTGTGAGTTATCTTGATTACCTTAATTGATGAAGAAAGGCCCATTTTAATTGTGGGCACTACCATTCCTGGACTGGATAACATGGAGAAAGGGAACTGAGCAATAGTTTGCCCCTCTCTGCTTCTTGACTGAAGATAAAATGTGACCAGCTCCCTCAAGCTCCCCCAGTTGTGACTTCCCTACCACAATGGACTGTAATCAAAACTGTGAGCCAACATAAAGCCCTCTCCCTTAAGTTGCTTTTATCGGGGTATTTTATCATGGCAACAGGAAAAGAAACCAAGACAATGTATACTAGGTTCTATGTTTAGTGTTCCAGCATCTAGTATAACATTAAACATTAAACTGATAACATAGGCGATTTCTGTCCTTGGGAAACTTAGGAGCTAGTAGGGGAAACCCTGACATTAATAAGGAACAATTAAGCAAACAGATGAAATAATTCCATGTTATGTTAAGTGGTGTGATGGGAGAAAAGAAAGGTACCACAGGGGAGAGAAGGGACTGCATAGAGGACTGTCAGAGAGAGGAGAGACTCTTTGGGCTGAAATCACAGAACGAGAAGAGGCCATGCAAGGCAAGAGTGTTCCCAGGAGAAGAAAGCACTAGTCCCAAGTTCATGAAGTACCAAAACCTTGGGATGCCGATAGAGGTCAAAGAACAGGCAAGTGTGGCGAGAATTTGAAGGGAGGTGAACGGAGACAGGTGTGAGACAAGGTCAGGAAACCAAAGGCCCCCATCATGCAAATCCTCACAGGCTATGATAGAGAGTATGGAATGCTTCTCAGTGAAAACAGAAATTCAGTCATCATGACTACCTTTATGTTATTTGTGAATATAATACTTGCCTTTCAGTTAGACCAAGAACAGGTCCTATTTATTGACACATTTTCAGCATTTTCTAGTATGAGAAATGTTCCATGACTGTTGAATTAATTTGATGAACTACATACTATTTGTAAACTAATCAATGGCCACAATTTGGCTGATACAAGCAAAAATAAAAGGAGAAAAACTAGTCTTAAGTAACTTAGGCACATTTGGAAGAGGATGTGAAAGGAGAAGGAGAGAGAGGAATGAAAAACTATTATATATACACCTCACTTTGTTCACTTCTTCCAAGTGTGCTGATCTCAGCAGGAGCTGGGGCTGTGTTGTACATTCACATGTGAGCAGCAGTGTTCTCAAACAGAAACTAACTGAGGTCCAGAAAGTCAAAGATAAAAAACAAAGTGCTTTACAAAGGGCAAGTGACATCATGAACTTGTCATACCATGATAGTTGATGGTTGCTGAGGGAAGAAGAGTCATTTTCCCTTGGGGACATAGCTGCTAGTAAATCACTCAGACACACATGGGAAGTACTAACTGGACTCAGAGGGTGATCAATAACAACAAGGACAATAATAACACAGGACACGAAGTTTAGAGGGAGGTGAGGTAGGGAGACCCTAGGGCAAGCTGGAGGGAGGTAATGGTGGTTGGACATGATTGAAATATATTGTATGAATATACAACATTTTCAAAGAATAAAAATATTTTTAAAAAACATAGTAGCATGGTTTGAGAATTATACATTTGCACTGGAAAAGAAAATAAAGGACTAGGTATGATGAAATTGTTTAATAGTTTCTACAGTGACTACAAATTGACACATTGGCTGCTTTTGGGGTAGATGGAAATGAGGAGTAGTCTGTAAATCACTCGTCATTCTGATGAGATACCTCTGGCAGTTATATGTTCCTCATTTGGGCAAAGTTCATGGTTTTGAAAATGGTTTCCATTATATTTTCAGCAAACAAGTCTTGCACTAAGGTAGCAAGTCTAAGAAAATCTGTCCAAGACAGACTTCTACAGAGATTTAATGTTCCACTGTCAATGTACAAGAAATATCTGTGGAGCAGACCCTCTAAATGTGTAGGATGCAAGTACTCCTGGCCATCTTCAAGTCACCACAAATACATTCACCTAAGTAAACAGCAGCACATTTCTATCTTTTGGAGATGCTTAATATTTTGAATAAAGAGACAGTTTGAGATAAAGGTTTGGAATATAATAATGTACATACTAGAAAGATTTTGAAAAATCAAACTTTACAGATTAGAAAAAAAGACATTAGCAGCTCCTGCTTTCCAATTGTGGCTATTTTTAAATTTCACAATTACTATTTAAGATTCAGAAATAAAATATTACAGTGAGAATTAAAAACACTGTGATGGGAAGGGAAGAGTGTGCAATGTATAGCTTAGAAATCCATTATGCAATGAACAGCACATTAAATACTGCCAGACTGATTCCATTTTGGATTTTAGCAAAGCCTCTTACCCGGAGCCCATGGAAACGAGGATTACTATAGAAGAGCTTCATCTGCTCAGATGGAAGTGGTCCTAGCACCTTCTGAATAGTAAAGAGTTGGTCAATTTCACTTTCTCCAGGAAATAAGGGCTGTCCATCACTAAGCTCCCCAAGAATACAGCCCACTGACCACATGTCCACAGATTTTCCATAGGGAGCTCTGAAAAGCAAAAGATGAGACAAGCTTAGCAACCAAAGACACAAAATGGTTTAATAATTCTCAACTTATTTTAGACCAATTTATGATTTAAAATATGCATGTACTTAAGGAATTTAAAAGGGCCACTAGCAAAAATGAGACTATAAATAAGGAATTAGAGCTATCTACATAAAAACTCTGAACACAAGTCTGTAACCCACCCTCAAAAAGAAATCAATTTAAACACAATTGAGTTAGTATATACTGATTTGAAATCTAGGTCTATCTTGACACAAATGGCTTTAATAAACCCTAATGTAGTGTACACAGTGGGTGAGAACACCTCACTTAGGCAATGAAATGTTCCCAAGAAATATTTTCAAATAATGATACTTTAAGCTCTAGTCTGGTAGAATGTGCCGTTGTCTTATGTACCTTAAACAAATACTGGATGTCATTTTATTTCTGATTGCTCAGTATCACAATTTCCAACAGCTAAGATGAGTTATGCGAATATAACTATTGTATATAAGGCATTCTGATAGTTACTTTCTTTTCTTTTCTTTTCTTTTTTTTTTCTTTGTTTTTTCAAGACAGAGTTTCTCTGTGTAGTTTTGGTGCTTGTCCTGAATCTTGCTCTGTAGACCAGGCTGTCTTCAAACTCACAGAGATCCATCCGCCTGGCTCTGCTACCCAAGTGCTGGGATTAAAGGCGTGCGCCACCACCACCTGGCTTCAAATAATGTTTTCATGTACTTAAGGGTTTGTAGCTCTCTTTTAGGACCTAAATCACTAGAGAGAGAGCTTTACAAAGAGAGTTTGCTACAAATGGAGGTCATAAATGAAAATCTAAGGCCTTATAGCTTGGTACCTAAAGCCTAAAATAAATTATTTATGACAGATTAAACAAAAACTATATATACAGTTTCAAACATAAATAATCCAAGCCTTAAAAAGGGAAAGCCAAAATAAGATATATGAAAAATAATTTCAAATGAAATTCTAGAATGCCATAATAATAATATAAAAATTTAAACTAAAGCACTATTAGCATACAGAATATATTTAGGTTAATGTAAGTTACTGCAACAATAACTCAGTATTTCATTTATCTCATTTCCTTCTCACACACAAAAAATCTAAAACTATGAGGAAAGCTCATTTAGACATTTTTGGTAGCTTTCTGGGCAATTAAGCATATTGATTTTAAAAATACTATTTGAGATAAAGAAAACCTGTCATATGGTACTAGATTGAGAAACCTATGGAAAAATCTCATGCTCATGACAAGCTATTTTAATCCTATCATCTAATTTGAATACTTTATGCAGCTGAAACTATTTTGGATATCAAGGACAAAGTCCTTGGAATGTATAAACATGTAGACTCTTAATATAAAACCAAATACCAAGTGATTTCAATGAAATTTTTACAGAAATAGTATGGTACTTAAACTAGAACATGACAATCAATTCAACTGAGCTCAAGTTGGCTGTGCTGTGCTCATCTAATTTTAGCAACTATCAAACATATCTAAAGATAACGTCAGTTTTCCAATGGGTACCGTTAGAGAATAAACGTTCTCTAAAGATTCACAATAAAGCTATCCTCACAATACACTCCATGGGTCCATTTTATAGATGAAAACCACATTTTAAAGACTTCTTCTGCCAGACTTGGGCTCTTGCTTGCAGTTCTAAGAATGATCTACTTTCTACTCTTCATTGGCAAATAGTGTCCTGTAAATTCAAATTACAAATCCCTCAAAAGTATATAATACAGTCCAGTGATCCACAAAGGCACTCAGGAGAAAAGCAGATGGATACAAAGAAAAACAATCCTAAGTCCAAGATCAAAAATCAGCACAAGAAGCTGAGACGATGGTGCAGTGGGTAAAGTGCTCGCTAAGTAAGCATGAGAACACGAGTTTTGATCTCTAGCACCCACATAAACATCTGGGTGCAGCAGTGGATATTTGTAATGCCAGCACTGGGAAGCAGAGACAAAAGGATCCTGGGGGCTCACTGGCCAGCCAACCAAATGAACCAAAAGACCCTGTCTCAAAGAAACAAGGAGAACAATACAGGAAGACACCCATTGTCAACCCCTGACCTTTCCATACGCACTCATGGTGGCATGCACACACGTGCACACACACACAGACGCACACACAAATTAACACGAGTCTAAAACTTGGTCCATTCAAATGATGGGACAATATGGGGACTGACCATAATTTGCTTTGCACGATAAAGCAAGCTTTTGATTTAAGAGAATAATAAAGATTTTTAAAACATCAGTAATTTTTATTGACCCTAGATCAGCAATAAATCAAGAATTGCATCAGATGGTGGCTGGTAAACATTAGAAAATGAATAGTTAACATCCAATAAACTCTCCATGAGTAATACATATAGTCACTAGTGCTACCCAGAAGAACTACAGAAATTTACATTGCTATTACATAAAAGTTATCTTTTAGGAATTAAATTTCTTATATTCCCACAGACACATATATGGGACATGAAAGAAATGTGGTAAAACCTACAATTTGTGTAGTTTTGATTATTTACCAACATGGCTAATTTTAATTGTTAGTGTGTTTTCTTTCTCCATTATTGGGTTCCAAAGAAGGAACTCTGGTTAAGAAAAACTCTGGTTAAGAGAAAACACTACAGCTAGGGGAGGTGGAAAATTATCAATGAGACTATGTGAGGGAGATGTGGACTTCAGGCTCCTTCTTGGCTGTAAAGTTAAAATGTATAAAAATCTTTTTAGAAGATTTTCTGGTACTAACAGATGAATGACAGGACACTAAAAGTGGAAAGGTGGGCAAAGTGGATGAATGTGGAAATGCGGCTGAAAAGAATCAGCAATGCAGGTCTAATGTGAATAACCATTTATCATCAAACAAGATTTACATTGTTCAGAAGAAAACTGAAAATTGGTTCAGTATTCGCCCCATGTCTAGCCAAGTGGCTGAATGTAAACTCAAGTATCTGTCTAATGTGTCAACAGATAAACGAGAATGACAAACCATCCCCTTGTAAGTCATCTTTAATATCATTATCTTCTATCAAGAGGTAGGATTTATTTCTCCATACTTTGAATTAGGGTTTGGTCAATAAAGCAAATGCTGTACAAACAGGGCCTTGAAAAGCACCTTTGCTTTATGGCTGTACTTCATGCTGCACATAATTGCCCTATCACATTAGAAACTTGGACTAGCTTACTAAAAGATAAGTCCTGAGGGATACATGATGCTTTGCCAGGCGCTAAGAGAATAGCTCAGTGGGTAAAGTTCCTGTCTTGCAAAAACTAAGGACCTGAGTTCAGTCGCTAGAATACACATAAAAATGCCAGGTATGGCGGTGCACACTTGTAATCCAAGCACTGGAAAGGCAGAGAGAGCAGGATCCCTGGGGTTCACTGTCCAGGCAACCGAGCCTAACTGATGAATTAGAGGCCGGTGAAAGACCTTGCATATGGGTGCAAGGATTTATCCCTGGTGCATGAACTTGCTTTATGGAGCCCATTCTCTATGGTGGGATGCCTTGCTAGGCCTTAATGAAGGGGGAGGGGCTTGTCCTGCCTCAACTTGATGTGCCTTGCCTCACAAAAGTGACTGGATGCCTGAAGAATGATATTCTGGCCTCTACATGCACATACACCCCCTCCCCCAACACACACAAGGAGAAAAACAAAAGGTCTATCAGACACCAGCCAAAGCCCTCTACATCAACTAGTTCCCAGTCCATCTGCCAGCTAACTAGCTACCATCAGAGTGACTCCAAGAGACTGTGATAAATAAAATGAAGCTTGTTTCTTAGCATCAAGTTCTTAGGTGTCTTTTTTTTTTTTACAGTGAATATGCAACTAATATACTTAAGTAACCCGAGTTTTTATTTTCCATAAATGATCCCAATACAAATGATAAAGAAAGAACAAATGTGTATGTGCCACTCTATTTTGAAAAGGAACTCACCCAAGTAATAGCTCTGGTGACCGGTACCACCTTGTAGCCACATACTCTGTGTAATTCGCATTATTGCCTTCGGAGAGATTCCGAGCAAAACCTGAAAGAATAGCAATTTCCTGTTGGCAAAATAGTTCACCACTAGTAATTATTTCAAAGAATATCAAAAGAGCATAATGACTAACTTAAATTGACTGTTTATTAAGAACATCTTTATTTGAAATAGTTAATAGTGCTCATATGTTTAAGTACATGATGAATTTGCTATCGACTCAGTCTTTTTTCTGTGCTAAAGAGATCCATGTTTTTAAATGCACCCTGTGTTTTCATAAGCGTTTGGAGCCATATTTTCAAATAGACTCTCCTACGATTTTCAATTTAAAATTGAGTGCTCACTAGGGCCAGAAGTCAAAGTCACACGAGCATTAATTCTGCTATGTGAGACCTACATAGTGTTGTGTATTTACTGTTGCTGAGCAGTTCCAGTCATTAAGTAAACAATTAGCAGTTGGCACGGATAGAAACAAGTAGGCTGAAAATTACTCTTCGCCCTTAATGTTGTAGAAGCGACTTAGGGGTATCTTAATTACCTTATAGATGCTAGCATTGCTTTTGTCCCCCACTTTTTCCAAAGGGTTTGGACCAAACAATGAAGCAGTAGGCTAAATTAATTACCCATCTAATTCACCAAATGCAATAGAGGTTCACCACCAGGGTTATAGAGAACTAAAACTTTAAAACTGGAGTAGAAATTAAGGTTTGTGTCAGTCTGAGAAGCAAAAATTAGTGTTTCTTAAAGTGAAACAGTTAAAAAAAAAAGAAAACAACACAAAGACAAAGCCCCTAACTTCACCTAATCAATTCTTCTTACTGAAGCAGTTGCTAGACACCTATGTGCACTTCAAGTCAGACAAAGGAGTTGCTCTCTGCTAGGGAAGGCAATTAATTAGGAAGTCCTTGATGGGACCCACAGGACATAGGATGGCACATGGAATGCTGACCACTTTTTAAAGCAGTAATGCTAGAGAAACACTCCTCTTTTCCTATTATTAACCATCCTGCAGGCATTTCTTTTGTATTTATACCTGTTTTATAATCTTCAGTCACCCTGGACCTTAATGTAGAATCATGGAGGCATAGTAAATAGTGTCTGGGGGACAGAGAGTCTGCTGACACTTTGGGAGGTAATCATAATTACAGATGGGAACTCATAGACAATATTCCTGGAAACCAGTTGAGGCCAGAAGAGGGAAGTCAGATCCCTTGAAACTGGAGTTACAGGCAGTCCTGAGCTGCTTTGTGGGTACTGGGTACTGGGGACTGAACCCAGGTCTTTTTCAAGAGCAATAAGTGCTCTTAATCACCGAGCCATCTCTCCAGCTCCCAATAATATTTAAAGAGTCGCCATGTTCTACAATGTAGATCAGGTAAAAGGATAATTTCAAAGGTGACCTCCTGGGGCTGGGAATACATTCAGTTGGTAGTCTGCCTAGCATGCTGGAATCCCTGGGTTTTAACCCTAACATTGCATAAACTGGGTGTGGTGGCACATGATTATAATCCCAACACTCAAGAGGTGGAGGCAGGTAGATCAGAAGTTCAGGGCCATCCTTAGCTACATAGTGAGTTGGGGGTCAGCCTGGGATACATGAGAACCTATTTCAGAATAAAACAATAATTTAAGTATTTAAATCAACTGTTGAGTACTAAAGATAACTAAAAAATTTTACCTGTCTGCTTCTTTTTGTAAATGTTCCTTTCTGACATTTTATCGAGCCATGCCCTAAGCACTATTAACTCAGGATTTTAAAACTTTTGTATATTATTTAAAATATTTAACAGAATTATCCACATGAGAAACAATACAGATTTTCACTAGGAGTATAATTTTTAGAAGTTTTCCCATATATTTGAGAAATAAGAGTATTGTACACCAATTACCCATTTCATTCATTAAACATTTAACAGGAACAAATGGATGTGCACTGTATGCATCCCATACATAAGTGTGAATACATGAGTATTTATCTAGTGGTTATGACTAACTGTAGAACAATTTCTATTAATATACAAAATATTTTATCCTACACTAACCAGGAATCTATACTGATGGTTTAAAGAACACTCTAATTCTGGGGTCATTTGGTACTGGGTCACTTAGCACATTACTCTTATGTGACAAGCAAGTATTTGCTTCAAATTAATTGCCATTAAACAAATAACGGCAAATTTGTTAAAATTGTACATAATAGAACATATAACAAAGAGAAAGCAAAGCTGTCCCAGCTGTCAACTGTTAGCACATGACCCAACTGAATGTTCTTCTACTAACTTAAATCAAAATATAAGATTACTTATAATATACCTTTAAAAGCTACCCATGTAGTATATTAAATTAACCCTCTCAATATTGGGGCTCGATTTCTTTTTAACTCACCGAAGTCGCATAGTTTCAGGACATCATTGTGGCTGATTAAGAGATTTTCAGGCTTTATATCTAGAATATCAAGATTAAAAAACAGGAAGTGAAAATGTTCTCTTTTCTGCTGACCCACACTTACAGTGCTGCAATGGCATCCATTTGAAACATCTAAGCAGGACTCGACTAGAAAACTGGGCAGTGTAAAGAAGACATTTTATGCTGTTACAAAAAACTTTCAATTAATAGAATTCTTTTTTTAAACTGTATTTAAAAGATTTTTTTCCATTTTACATACCAACCACAGTTCCCCCTCCCTCCCCTCCTCCCGCTCACCTCTCATCTTCCCCCCACCCCAATGCCCCCTCTACTCCTCAGAGAGGGTAAGGCCTCCCATGGGGAGTCAACAAAGCCTGGCACATCAAGTTGAGGCAGGACAAGCCCCTCCCCCTTCATTAAGGCCTAGCAAGGCATCCCACCATAGAGAATGGGCTCCATAAAGCAAGTTCATGCACCAGGGATAAATCCTAGTCAGGGCCCCACATACTGCCCAAGTCACACAACTGTCACCCATATGCAGAGGGCCTAGTTTGGTCCCTTGCAGGCTCCCCAGCCATCAGTCCAGAGTCAGTGAGTTCCCACTAGCTCAGGTCAGCTGTCTCTGTGGGTTTCCCCATCAGGATTTTGACCCTTTGCTCATACAATCCCTCCTCCCTCTCTTCAACTGGACTCCAGGAGCTCAGCCCCATGCTTGGCTGTGAGTCTCTACATCTGCTTCCATCAGTTACTGGATGGAGGTTCTATGATGACAATTAGGGTAGTCATCGATCTGATTACAGGGGAAGGCCACTTCAGGCACCCTCTCCACTACTGCTTGGACTCTTAGCTAGGTTCATCCTTATGGGTTCCTGGGAATTTCCCTAGTACCAGGTTTCTCCCTAACTCCATAAAGAAGAAATAGATAAGATCTCCCGAGTAAATTGGGAGTTGGGGTGGTGGTGGTAAGGGGAGGTAGCAAGAGAACATGAGGGAAAGGGACAGCCGAGTTGGGGGAGGGACAGAGGGAGAGCAAGGAAAGAGGTATCTTGATTGAGGGAACAGCTAATTTCTTTTTGAGACATGCAGACCACAATTACCATGAAGATTCCTAAAAAACCAAAAACTTATCTCTCTCCCTTTCTCTGGTAAGGATTGAACCTAGAGCCTAAAGCATGTTGAGGACACATCTTAATTCTGTAAGAAATTTTTAAATGATTAAATTTAGGCCAATATACTTCAAGAAACTATTTTTGCTTCATAAAGAGTTAATACAAATTTTTGGAGACTGAACCTAAAATGTCTGTATCTACATGCTATCTTTAAAAATGTACACACCAGTAGTTAAACAGTATAATATTTACTGGAGGAAAACTATAAAAAAGGTTCTCTGTATAATTCCTATATTCACATACCTATTTAGTTTTCCCATGTGGTTCACAACTAACAGACAAGGTAAGATTTCCATTTTTTCCCCAATAGGTCATGCAAAGATGTAATAGGAGTTGAGGAGCAGAAATTTTCAGAAAATGAAGTGGAACTATTCCACAGAGAGGCATCTCACAATTTTACTTGTTGACATAGGGTTTCATATATCTCTTGATATATGGCTTCCAACTCTTATATAGTCAAAGATGACATTGAATTCTCAATCCTCCTGTCTCTACTGCCCAAATGCTGAGAACACAGGTATATACCAACATGCCCAGCTACAACATTATTTTTAAGAGTACAGTAGTTACCATCTATATTACATAGTAGAGGTAAAAATGAGGTGAGTACAGAGGTAGCGGGACGTAAAGATTTCCCAATCATGGGACTGTGTTTTTAAATCCTGGAGTCTGAACCAAAGTACGCATGCTGGTCAAGTACTCTTATTATTTACAGCCCCAGCTCAGAATCTTATTTCCTACCATTTAATCAAATCACAGTCAATGGAAATACACTTAACTCAGCTCCTCATTAACATCCTAAAGTGTAACACAGGCTGTTTTTAGAACCATTACCTAAGACACTAGATGGTCAGTTGCCCAGGGATTTATCCATGACATATAAAATCTTGATAACAGGGGACTACTATGAGAGTCAAATAGTAGAAGTTGGAAATCTTCATAATACCTTTCAGCTACTCTTAAAAGTGAGACTATAAAGGTGATTATCCTTGCACATTTGTACAGATAAATTTAGTATAAAATAATAATAATGATGATGATAATAACACAAAGACAAGAAGTACATATGTCAACATTTTCTGATAAGCATTTTAGCTTCATTATTATATCAAATAGTATCCCACTGCTATAAACTTTGCAGTGTAAGTGAGATTATTAGAAAAATTGGTCAAAATGACAAGAAGCAAATCATTTTCCTTATTACTGAAACCACTGACTTTGTGGTGCTAAAGAAAAGTGATATAGTTTAGAGAAGTATAATCATGGCCCCTACAAGATCATTTATACCTTCAACCTAGGGACAAGGGGCACTTTCCACCAATAGGGGACAGAAATCAGGAGGTGAAGCTATAGACTAGAGATTACTGATCTAAGACAGAATGAAAGGAAAGCTCTACTGGAGGGTCAGTGACATAAGACCACTTATAAAGCCTGCTTTTGAGTTGATTCACATTACTTGGTCTAATCGTAAGACACAAAGGCTATAGAAATTGTCCATCTGCCTCTTGATTCCACCCAGAATAAGTTCAAATTTTGCATCTGCTGACTCACTGGTATTGCTACAGTCACAGCAGACTTGGTTATACAAATAGAGATATCACCACAATAAACCTGTATGCTGCCCTTTGGTGGGTAGAGAGGGAGACTTGAAGAGCAAAGGGCTTCTCATATCTTTACTTTCAAAATACATTTACCTTAAATAGAAATATTCTTAAGACAGTAAATCTTGAACTTTAGCTGCTTTATTTAGTATTTTGTCATTTCAAAAGTCCTATACTCACCTCTATGGACAATGTCATTCTTGTGGCACCAGTGAATAGCTTTGATTAGTTGGTAGATATAGCTTTTCACTTTTTCAGGTGGAACTCCATTTGGCATTTCTTCCAGCAACTCAAGCATATTCTAAAAGTAAATACAGAGCCATTCATCTTCAAACTTAGGCAAGCCTATCAATTATGTACTAATAATCTTTAGCACCTTAGATAAGGATTCATCCAACATACATTTTTTTGCTTTGCATTTAATATACAACTTAGTTTGTGGTGGTTCAGGATAGAGCATTAAATATAAGTTTTCCTTTAAGAGAAATTATTTTTTTTTACTCCTTACTGCTGCCTCTAATACTGAGAGGGGGGAGGGAGAGAGAAAGGGGAAGGGAGGTGTTGTAGACTATTATTTTAAGGTGTGTTAATTTGTTTATGTTGCATTTGTTTAACTCTGTGAAGCTGTGTCACTGTGCCTGTCTAAAACACCTGATGGGCTAACAAAGAGCTGAATGGCCAATAGTGAGGCAGGAGGGAGAAAGGATAGGTGGGGCTGGCAGGCAGAGAGAATATATAGGAGGAGGAGGACTCCAACAGTCACCCAGCTATACAGCCAGACACGGAGTAAGAAATAATGAAAGGTATACAGAAATAGAGAAAGGTAAAAGCCCAAAGGCAAAAGACAGATGGGATAAGTTAAGAAAAGCTGGCTAGACACAAGTCAAGCTAAGGCCAGGCATTCATAATTAAGTATAAGCCTCTGTGTGTGATTTATTTGGGAGCTGGGTGGTGGGTCCCCCTAAAGAGTAAAAAACCAACAACGGGGGGGAGAGTGAGAGAGAAGAATGATTAGATTTATACATTTGGAATAAAAATTGAAACAGGCTAGAAAATACCATTGAGGTTCAGTGGGCTAACTCAGCAGGTAAAGACACTTGCTGCCTAATTTATGCAAATGTGACAATCTAAATTTGATCCTGAAACTCACATAAAGGTGGAAGGTGACAACTAACTCCACAAAATTGTCCTTTGGCCTCAATATGTGCACTGTGGCACCCCCCCACACACACATAAATGAAATATTTTAAAGGAGAAAGTATTGTTAAAAAACACACAATCACCAAACAATTCAAAATCGTCAATCTGGAATCAGAGACTATTTTGCATAAGGTTCATGCAAAATTTTCTGGTAAGTCAGGTATTGTGGTACATATCTGTCACCCCAGCATTTAGAAGACATTACATAGTGATACCCTGTCTCCCAAAACACCGGAAATACTAAGCCAAAACTTCACTTAGCCAGTTTCCAGTCTCCATTGTATTACCACATTAACCAAAGATTCTCCATCTGTTCTGCAAAACACATCAACAGGGTGCACAGTATAACCTTAGCCTATGTGGGAAGGTACCCAAATAGAGAAGCAGCTTACAGGGGGCAACCTGGGGCTACACAGAGGCGCAGATGCTGCCATAGGCTCACGAAGTCACATCATCTTCATCACAATGCTCAGATGTTTGCCTTTTTCACTATTGGCATGTGCACTGATGGTACACAGCAACAATGGGTAATTGCTGGAACACTAACAGGAATCAAGACAATGGAATTCTGAATCCAAATGACCCTTGCCATTACATTAAATAAAGAACAAAAGAGCAATTAGCTAAAGATGCCCTTGATGAAGCAGTAGAAAAGCATTGCTTTTATAAAATTTTTTTTTTTTGGTCTTTCGAGACAGGGTTTCTCTGTGTAGCTTTGCGCCTTTCCTGGAACTCACTCTGTAGACCAGGCTGGCCTCGAACTCACAGAGATCCACCTGGCTCTGCCTCCCGAGTGCTGGGATTAAAGGTGTGTGCTACCACCGCCTGGCACTTTTATGAAATCTTATTGTACATGTTGTAGTAATTAAGTTTTGATTGTTAAGTTGACACAATGGGAAGGGAGTCTCAATGAGAGATTGCCTAGTCTGGACGGCCTGTGAGCAGGTCTGTGGAGGGATTGTCATGACTGCCTTCATTGATGTGGAAAGACCCAGCCTGAAAGTGTGTGGCACTATTCCTGGGTTTGGGGCTCTGAACTGTAGAAAGAGTACAGAAAGCTGGCTGAGCACTTAGCTATGCATTAGAATGCATGCATTTATTTCTCTCTGCTCCTGATTGTGGATATGATATGACTAGTTGCTTCAAGCTCTTGTGTAGCTGCTGCTGTGACTTCCCTTCACTGACAGACTATAACCTGGACCTATAAGCAAAAATAAACTCCTTTCTCCTCTAAGTTGCTTTTTGCCAGGATATGTTGTCATAGCAACATAAATGAAACCAGGATACATGTCTTTTTAAGAATCTACATGTCAACTGAAGAATCTACACAGAGCACTTCTGCTGCACACATGCCATCTGAACCATGGCTGTCCTCACTGGGTGCTGAGGTGCATGTGAACCATTGTTGTCTTCACTGGGTGCTGAGGTGCATCTGAACCATGGCTGTCCTCACTGGGTGCTGAGATAGATGCATCTGAACCATGGCTGTCCTCACTGGGTGCTGAGGTGCATCTGAACCATTGTTGTCCTCACTGGGTGCTGAGGTGCATCTGAACCATGGCCGTCCTCACTGGGTGCTGAGATAGATGCATCTGAACCATGGCAGTCCTCACTGGGTGCTGAGATGCATCTGAACCACTGTTGTCCTCACTGGGTGCTGAGATGCATCTGAACCATGGCCATCCTCACTGGGTGCTGAGGTGCATCTGAACCATGGTCGTCCTCACTGGGTGCTGAGATAGATGCATTTGAACCACTGTTGTCCTCACTGGGTACTGAGATAGATGCATCTGAACCATTGTTGTCCTCACTGGGTGCTGAGATAGATGCATCTGAACCATGGCTGTCCTCACTGGGTGCTGAGATAGATGCATCTGAACCATGGCCGTCCTCACTGGGTGCTGAGATAGATGCATCTGAACCACTGTTGTCCTCACTGGGTGCTGAGATAGATGCACCTGAACCATGGCTGTCCTCACTGGGTGCTGAGGTGCATGTGAACCATTGTTGTCCTCACTGGGTGCTGAGGTGCATGTGAACCATGGCCATCCTCACTGGGTGCTGAGGTGCAGGCTGTACCAGCCACTTTTTGTGCTGTACCATTTTCTATCTTAAAGAACAACTGAGATGCAAGCCACTTGTGTTAACATGATTGGGTTTGTTGTTGTTTTATTTTTGCATTGCTAGCTAAACACTCTTAACACTGAGCTACAACTCTAGCCCCAAACAAATATTTTTACATTGCTCAGCTTTGTCTAATATGAGAAACACTACTAGATAAAACCCACATGAAAGTTGTGAAGGCTCTCAAGAATCTTAACATAATTAAATATCATTATCAGCCACTGAAATAATGTTTCTTTAAAGAGAGTTGCTACGCATATGAAAATCATGTTTAATAGTTTGGAAATACCTAACAAAAGAGAACCACAAAATGCATTACTGTCTAGTCAATGGTGACAGACATGCAGAAAGCACGGGTAAGGAACAGGTGCTGGCAACTGATAATCATAAAGACTGACAGGTTCTGCATGGAGATTGCTTTCTAGTTGTTTGAGCCTTTGCTTCCATTTAAAGATGCCTTTATGAGCATGTTGTATGCAACAAAGACTAATAAGAACTTTAATCAGAGATCAATATGCAAAACTCCTCAACCTACCTCTATAGAGGATTCAATGTATATTTATGGTTTCAGTTAAAATGTCGAAAGAATGTTTGTAGCTTTTTAAAAATCTCTATGCGAATTGCCTTTTTCTAATTAAGGAAAACGTAGGAGATGCCAAGAACAAGGAGGCATAGGAGGGCTGAATAATACAGAAATAATGGTTATCTCGCAGTTCGTGTTTTACTCAAGGTTCCTAAGCAGCAGAAGATACTATCACTCTCCACAGCCATTTTTCCTTCCTCTGTAGGGAATGCAATTTTCAACCACAGACTTAGATACTCCGAATGATGAGTACATTTCCTCTCTGCCTTGCAGCAAGTGTGACCATGTAACTATACACTAGCTAACAGGATGTGACAGCTGGAGTTGACACTAAAGACAAGAAAGCAGAGCTGCCCTTCAGTCCCGTGTATCTCCCGTTGTATGTTTGTGAGGAAGAAAGAGATTCCCATTTTGTTTAAAGCATTGTAATTGTGAGTCTCAGTTAACAACTCCCTATCCTGTTTGAACATCGTTCTCTTTATGCTCCTGAGACTCACTGTAGATTGCCAGGCACTGTCACTGGTGGGCAGGTGGAATGGTTAACTTCCATCCAAGAATCACAGGGGCAGGGAAAGAAGCCCAGGCCTCAGTGTCAGAAGACTGCAATACTGGTCACAGCACTATCACTTGGGAGCAGAGAGATCTCAGGCATGTCAAATTGCTTCTCCCGGAGAGAAAACAGATATGCAGAAGAGATATCTCTATTTGATATACTAAATTGTAATTTACCATAAACCACCACCATGAATACAACAGAAATATAAAAAGAGACTGAAATATAGATGTGTCAAATTTTATTATTTGGCAGTGAAAGCTGAAAACTGCACAAGGATTTGTGAGAACTAGAAAAGAAACATAATCTGTTTTTTTCTATAATCCTAGTACAGCAATTTTTTTAAAAACAAAACATTTTCAGTTTTATTTTGATAGGGAAATACCAAATCTAACACAGAAAAAAAGATTTTGGAAAAGTAACAGAATAGTTGATTTAAAATGGCAGAGCCTTCATTGGGTACAGTAACCACACTTAAGGTTAGGCCCTGTGCTCAGCAGTAGATGGCCAACACAAAACAAACTCGATGCTGTTTCTGTAGACTTTTTGTTTGGCCATTCTTTGTCTTACTACTCATGTGCTTGTATAGTGTGGCTTCCGACTGTATGTTTTTATGGGTCTTGTTTTTGTGTATGTGCATTTCTTCTCTTTTAAATTCTATTTTTGTTGTCGTTTGCCTGTTTGTTTTCTAAAGAAAGAGAGAGAAAGAAGGGGCAGGGAGTTGGGTGGATTGAGAGGTGAGAAGGAGCTGGGAGGAGTCAGGGAAAGGGAAACTCATGATCAGAACATATGTGAAAAAATATTTTCAATAAAATAGATATTAAAATGAGTCTTGTATATTTTAAATTGTGCTAATAGTTACTATTTTATATGGTTTATTTCAAAAAATACTTTGCAAGTGCTGAATGAACTCAAAGTCACATTCCCAGGTCAGGTCTTCCTGAAAGCATTGCTTTCTTGTCACTTACATCATAAGACCCATCAGGGAATTGACCTAAGAGCAAACAGCAGCCTGTTTTAATCTGTGTTAGGTAACAGCCCATGTAATCCTCAGAAGCCACCTAGTCACACAGCAACAACACCTTCAACAGGCTCCTCTGCCTCCAGTTTCTCTTAGTGTAATCAGCTGAACGCAACTGCTCAGTCAGGTGCTCCCTAAGAAATTCTGAGACAGCTAACCTTTTGCCTTTAGATCACAATATTAAACCGTTCGTTAATGAGTTAACCTTCTTTACAAAGTGTTACTAGTGATCTTAACAGCAGCTTCAGGCCTTCCCTTACAATTCCCTCAAGAAAGCCAGAGGACTGGCAGTTCCCAAAAGACTGCTGCTTTGGTCATTCATCATCCTGGGTCTGAGTGAAGGAGCCAGCTCCTGCTTGCATGGATCTGGTGTGTGCCTCTACCATCTTTTATCATACTGTCCATTCACCTGTTTCTCCTGCAGAGCTTCTGTTCATGTTTAATTGAAATAAAGCTAATCTGAAAACCACTTGTTGTACATAGATTCACGACTTCAGACGCCATCCCACTACGATCTTTAAAGTTAAGATCATCTGAAGGCTTCTACATTGTACAAAATGCCCAAATCTATTTCAGAGTATCTAGTGACTGTGGGAGAGAGATTTTCATTTTAAGACCCTCAGATTATGAACACTCTGATAAGTCATACTAAGTAATACTACTTTCTTCAATAGTGTCAAAAACAAAACAATAACGTGAATCTGCACACTGGCAATTCATGACTTACTTTCTCAACATACTCAAACACCAGGTACAGTTTCCCTCTCCGGCGAAAGGCTTCCTTCAGCTCCACAATGTTTTCCTGCTTGAGAGTGCGAAGCATTTTAAGCTCTCGTAAAGTCGTTTCCTTGACTTCTTCATTTTCTAGAATACAGGCAATGGTAAAGAGAAAATACATTAAAGCTTGCAAAGCTACCATTCAAAGAATTTTAAGAGCGCTGACAATATCTTCTCCTTAAGAAGTCCACAGATAGAATATTAACACATTTTCTTGGTAAGAGAAAGAAAATCAGCAACTTAAAGAAACTTAGTTGGATCTGGTGATACATACTTATAGTCCCAACACTTAGGAGGTTGAGGCTGGAGGATATTAAGTTTCAGGCCAGCCTGGGACATGAGGTACCCAAAAAGCCCAAAATAAAATGAACAACAAAGAAAAGGCTTCCTCAAACAGCTCAAACCCATTTTTTGCTTGTCTTTTCATTTTGTTGTAACAAACCATAGATTTATAGACAGAGCATATGAATTCATCATCATTTTAGCCCTAACATTCTGTTTTGGGGAAGAAAATATTTGAAAGGGTTTAAAGTCAACCCCATCAATGTACAGAGGAGGCTCTGTGTCCAGTATGTGTAGCAGCAGTTCATGTCTTATGGTTGGTTTCAAGTTTTAGCTTAAAAGAGCATTTTCTTCTTCAGGCTGCTTGTGAATCACCTCAGTGAGCACAGGTTGTGCATCAGACATTCATGACGCAGTTCATGGCCAAATCACAGGGAATTCTTAAGAGTGTCTTATTTCTCTGAACAGCAGCTGCTGTGGGTTCCTGCTGCCTTCCCATGGCATGTCCATCTGTCTATCCCAGATGGTGTAGCTGTTCTAGGATGGAGAACTTATGCTGTACCAGGATTTGCCCTTCCATACCATCAACTTCACTTGTGATAACTTCCACAGACATGGAGGAAGGACAGAAGTCACGTTGGTGGTAATGGATTAATGGGCAGGCAAACAAGGAGCTAATATTTCACTTTAAATATATGCTTGTGATAGCTTCAGAGGTGACTGGGAAATTCTATGTATTGTGTTTTCAATATGTATGTTCAAGAATACAGGTTCATAATTCTCAAATTCCTAGTTGGAAAACTGAACCTGTTCTAAGTTTATAACAAATTCATTCAGAGGCAAAATGGAATTGATATGAGACTCTTTATGGTCTTTGTTTAATGCATTTAATATGAATATTCATAGTGTAGGCTATAGAAATATGCCTTGATTACAGGGTGCTATGTAGCATGCCATATTTCCAGTCTAAAACTTTGAAATTATGAATGCAAAAAACACATTTCGCCTCAAGGCTTTGGTTAGGGGCCAGAATCCAGACTCATGAGATTATGTTGTGGGGACCTCCATTTCTGGCATGTCTTAAGTCTGAAGAGAAAGAAACTGAAATTCTGGGACAGGGACAAGAAAACCTATCGCTTTCAGGAAGACATGCTGTGTACACAAGGCACCCGAGAGGGAAAAAGCTAGCTGGGGGCTGTGATGCAGAAAGGGAAAGATTCTAAACCAGAGTTAAGAAGGCTTATCAGCTGATTTTCTGTCCAGCCCCTCATCCAGCCCTTCTCTGAGATGAGTTTAAAGAAGAGGCTGGTAGGAACACAGCTCTGTGGAACCAGTGAGTCTGTGACCATCAGGAAACATAGTCAATACTTCTTTGTGACTGGGTTATATAGGTTAGGCACTCCAGCTAGGAAACTGTTGGAGATTGCTGGAACACGGGTTAGTAAAGGACATGGATGCTGCCTGTGTGGAAATAAGCAGCAGCAGTAGAGAAGGCCAACAGTAGCAGAAACAGTGACCCCTCTGAGTGAGGGGGAAGAACTGCACAGTGAATCCCACATGACAGGAAGAATGGGAGAGATGCAATTGACGACTTGCTGAATTTGTGAAGGGGCAAAGGGCTAGCTGTTGGATAAGTCAGCGGTCTTCATTACTGTTGAATACTACAGTGGCCCCAGCCACTAAGGCCTGGGGACAACCACCAGACTCCACGAGAAACTTTATCAGGATCTCCAATTTCATGTCCCCCTCACCTTGGTCTTTTAGTTGCCCAAATAACCCTAACCTTTGTCAGCACAGAGCCCCGAATGTTCAGTCTTCTACCTGGGCTTTTGACAGCACTGGTTCTTTCGGGTTTCTTAGTAAAATTTCATTCCTCATGGAGATTTCCCAGATCCTAAAGTGAGAGGACGACTCAGGCGACCATCCCATGTCACTATATGTAGGGCTTTCTTCTCACAAAGCAGCTCATCATTTTTCTTGATTACAAGAGGAGTGACCCTGATCTGGGATGCTTAGGACTAAGAAGTATTTAAAATTTTAGATATTTTCAATTCGTGTGTGTGTGTGTGTGTGTGTGTGTGTGTGTGTGTGTGTGTGTGTGGTGTCTGTGTTGTGTGTGTGTAATGAGATCTCTTGGGATTTGGACTCAAATTCAAATACAAAATTCATTTACGTTTCATATATCTGTATCCTGGAGGCAACTTTATACCATGTTTTCAGTGTGCTTATGTTTTGACTCTAACGTATCACATGAGGTCAAGTATGAAATTTCCCCACTTATAGTATCAGACAAGCACTCAATGAGTTGTAAACTTGAATACATTTCACATTTTGGAGTTTGGGAATGAGGCTGCTCAACCTCCTACCTATTTCTTACTGATTAAGCTCTTCTGTTCAATATACATTCAACTTTGCAGAACTGTGAACAATGAGAACTTCCTATTACAAATGCTTGAGCTGGGCCGGTGAGGAGATCTTTGTGCATATATGTCTAGCTCTCCCCAAGGGAAGGGAGGGGTGGCCAACAATATAGGCACTTTGTCCCCTCCATTTTGAGTAGAATGCTTTCAGTTTTCCTTTGAGGACTTTGAAAGGGCTGCTTGTGAGATAATGTAGAAGACAGAACTTATTTTCCCTTGTTTTTTTCTAGAATATGACAAATGGGGGATCCAGAAAACTAATAGTACTTAGGGTCAGCAGTGTGCACGTCTATACACAAAATCCTTCAGAGGATCAACAAGCTATGCTGGATCTGACTACAAAGTTGCTAAGTAAATCCAGCTGGTGTTTCTTCCCTGATCAAATGCTTGGGAACTCCTGGCATTTAAAAAGCAAGCAAAAAAAGGGTGTTGTGTATTATTATCAAGTTGGGCAGTTTCATTGTGCTAATAGATAAAATGACTTTGGAATGTCCAAATTAAAATATCGATGATATCAACTTTAGAGCAATATCTGTGGAGACTCCGCTGGACTAGACGAGGCCCTCTGCATACGGGAGACAGTTGTGTACCTTGGTCTGTTTAAGGGGCCCCCTGGCAGTGGGATCAGGATCCATCCCTGGTGCATGAACTGGTTCTTTGGAGCCCATTAAGTATGATGGGACACCTTGCTCAGCCTTGATGCAGGGGGAGGGGCTTGGACCTTCCTCAACTGAATGTACCTGTACCAGGGCTTTGCTGACTCCCCATGGGAAGCCTTACCTTTTCAGAGGGAATTGAGGGGTGGGTTTGGGGGAAGGGCTTGTGGGGGAGTGGGAGGAGGGAAGGGAGAGGGTTCTGTGATTGGTATGTAAAATGAATAAAAAAATTTCTTGATAAAGAAAAAATAAAATAGCGATGATAGAAGGAATACTGGAATAGAATTATGGAGATCTAGATTTAGATTCTGCCTTTTAAGAAATTTATGCTGTAACATGCAACTATGGGCAAGTTACTTACATTTTCATCAGTAAAAAAATCTAATACTTTGTGATTTTTTTCATTAAATTATTTCTGATTATAAACTTTATCAATAAGTAAATCTAATAATCTGTGATTTTTTTCATTAGTCTTTCTGATTATTTTTGGTTGTGAGCCTAGCCTTTAACAGCTGAGCCATCTCTCCAGCCAAAGTCTTTCTGATGATAAACCTAAACTTCACTGAATTTTGGTAACTGATAAATATATAATTCATTTATACTTGTTCCACCAAGTGGAGTTATAAAAAAAAATAAAGGTTACATTCTGAATGTCTATAAAGAGAGAAAAAAGTTAAATAATTTTTCAAAAAGAAGCACACACTAAACTAGGCTCGGTGACATCAGCTTGTAATCCTGGCTACTTGGAAGGCTAAAGCAGGAGAATTCCAAGTTCAAGGCCAGCCCGGGCAATTTCCTGTCTCTAAACAAAAAGTTTAAAAAAAAAAAGTAAAAAGAGAGCCTGGGATATAGCTTAGTGGTAGAGTGCTTTCTGAGCAAGTGCAAGCCCAACTTAGTTCAATTTCCAGTAACACACACACACACACACACACACACACACACACACACACAGATTGGGGGTAGGGAGGCACATGAGAACATCACTTAGGGCATAGTGTGAAAAAAAAACTCATTTGAGCTACCTTTTAAGGAAATGAGGCTCCTTTATGCCAGCCATAAGTAAGCACCTGAGCATTAAGACTGTAATGACTGGAAATGGAGGCAGAAATGGAGCTATTAATTCCCAAAGTGCAAGCAAACTATGCACTTGTCATTACTTGGAATATCCTATAATTTTGTTTCTATGAGTACTTTTAAGGTTTCTATCCCACCCTACAGTTAATAGTGAAAATTGTGGTACTAAATGATGGGATGATGGAGAAAGGTAATGCACACTCCACTGACACATGCCCTTCTTCTAAAACAAGCAGAAAGTAGCAAAGCATTAAAAATCATAGTGCAGTCCATAAAAATCAGCATCCTCGACCCTCTCGTCCCCAAATCACCACTAGCTAAGATAATCCTTATGTGCTATGTATGCTCTTTTCTCTAGTTCATAAATAAAGAATTCAGCACTAAAAAAGGATAGCTAACTTTCTCAGGGTGCATGGACTCAAAGTCACAATCAACCTCATGTCCTGAGTTGAATATCGGGACTTAGGTGGCATGGTATATCACAGTGAACTTTGGAGAATGAGTCAAAACACCTAGGTTGACACCTAGACTTTGTTATCAGACCCAGCTATTTGGCTGCTAAAGCCACATAGCCAATGAACATAGTATGACCAGGAGAAATAGTCAGTGAAGCTCCTGGGTCTTCAGAAACACACACCAGCTCTTCACCTATAAACTGGGACTGTGGTTATATTGGTTTATTCTAAAGGTCTCTCCTAGTTCTAAAAGTCAATGTTTCTCCACCTGTCTATAAGAATGCTAACCAATCTCATCATTAGGTACCACCAAAGAAGGCCAAGCACAGTGCTTCACATCTGTAATCCTAGCAATCAGAAGGCTGAGGCAGGAGGACTGCTACAAGTTCAAAGGCACCCTTGGCTAAAGAGTTAGTTCTAGGTCAACCCTGACTACAGATCAAGCTCCTTTTTCAAAATATAGAGAAGAGGGAAGAGGCAGGGATAGGAAAGAGAGAGGGAGGAGAGGGGGAGAGAGTGAGATTGACTGGATGGATGGATGGATGGATGGATGGATGGATGAAAATTAGATTTCAGGCTATCCTGGGTTACATAGCAATATCCTGTCTCAAACAAAATAAAAACAGTTATCACTGGAGGGGGTTGTCAAAGTCAAGAGCAACTATGGAAAAGTTATGTGCAGTAAGTATACAATCCAACCTAGTAAGGACAAAGTGACATGAACAAAAAAGATGCCAACTAAGACCAAACCAAAAGCTGACCTACTTCTGTAGGCTTGCCATTGAGTCAAGTTAACACACCTCAAAATCAAGGGAGTCACTAAAATAAAAGATAGCATGTTTGAAGAAGAAAGCTCACAGGAGCAAGAGAAATTCAAAGATAAGTCGGCAATGAAAAGAAAAATCTAAAGATCAGCAGAAACTCTATTGTAACCCTATTTTTAAAGAACCGTGGGTTTGGAAAAGAAATCCAGGAATAGCTGTAACCTACTTTATGAAATCACAAACCTGACATCTTTGTATAGCCAAAGAGGCCCCCCAAACAGACCTTTAAACAGATATAATGAAAAAGAAAAGTCAATCCATCCTTGAACAAAACCATGGGGGTACCATGTTTGATTCTGGTTGCTCTGATTGAAGACAGGACAGCAGCAGGACAATCAATGTGGCCACGGAGGGTTGAATGGTGATGTTACTGTTTTATGTACCAAAAAAGATAAAGACTCTTCAATCTTTAGAGATGAAGGACAAGGTAAAGAATAGAGAAAATTTATGAAATCACAAAAGGTGCAGAAATGTCGCCAAATCTTACAAGAATCCCTGAGGTTTGAAAGAGATCTGGTTTGGGCATAAAAAGGAAGTGTGATAGTACCAGGAGTAGCCAGGGTGTACAGCTCATTTCATCGAATTCTTTATATAATAAATGTTGGAAATTTTGTTTCAAGGCCCCTCTTACACAGAATTCAGGTTCTTGAATTTTAGAAATCACGAATTCTTGTTTTATAGCATCATATAAAATGAGAAAGCAGTGTAAAGTCATCTAGTCTCTAGGTAAAAATAAGAATAGAATCAACTGGAGGGAAGACTAGATGATTAACTAAACATTTCATAAAAATTAAAGAAATAAATAAACTCATTTCAAGAGAAAACTATTTATAGGAAACAAGCAACAAAAAATAAAATTCCAGCAATTTTATTTGATATAAAAGCAGAGAAATGACCTAGCACCACTCCACCCTGTTCTGCAATTAAACATGGACGGTTGCACAGCTCACTGGAGTTAGCCATGTACTGAGACCATGTGATAAGTAAGAAGAATTGTTCATTCATTAAAGAAAAGTAACAGCCCAAAGAATTAAAAGGAGGATTGAAATATAAATTTAAAAAATAAATTCTGACTACATTTTCTCCTAAAGCTTTAATAGACAGTATTTTGTAATTATTGCTATTTCAAAACCATCTAGTTTAAACTGGCACTCCTGGATTGTTCAATAAATTTGGTGTATGTCTTTATATGAGAATGATGACTTGAGGCCAGTGAGATGTTCAGGGAGTGAAGGTGCTTGCCACTAATATTTGGCCAAGTGTGTGTGTGTGTGTGTGTGTGTGTGTGTGTGTGTGTGTGTGTGTGTGTGGCGGGGGTGGGGGGGGGGTGGGGGTGGGGGTGGGGGGGTTGGGGGGGAAGAGGGGTGGAGAGCTGGCTCAGAGGTTAAGAGTATTTGCTGTTCTTGAAGGACCCTAGTTTGATTCCCAGCACCCACATGGTGGTTCACAACTACCCATAACTCCAGTTCTAGGGGATCCAATGCCCTGTTCTTACCTCCATGGGCACCAGACACATACATGGTATATACATACATACATGCAGACAAAACATTCAGAGATACAAAGTAAAAATAATCCTAAAACACTCTTAAAAACTTAAACATGAAGATAAACATACTAAAAGAGAAAACTGACAAAACCTTTTGCCATATTTTGAGCTAGTATACAATTTTACTGTAAAAACTGACTTTCCTGTTTAAAAGATAATACTCAATTCTCTCAAGAACTAAAATAGCACACAGTTGCTGTTATAATCAAAATTGTACCTACTATAAAGCAAACTTATTTTCATAATTTCAGCCTTTTATTTACTATGAAAATTTGGGTGTTATTTTAAACAGCAATCTGTTATTCTGGGATAATAAATATCTTTTGCACTAAAACGTTGTCCACTTGGAAATATATTTTAAAATAAAATAATATACTTTATTTAAGTTAAATAAAATTTTTACTTAAATTAAATTTAAAAATAAAGTATTTCAAAAAAGTTTTACACAAATTTTTGGGTTCTTATCATCTTAACAGGACAGTAGGACATTATTAGAATCTTTTAAAGCTACTAGAAGGTGGTATATATTCTCAAACACACTTCCTGCATATCATCAGTTAGAGACTATTTAGAAACATTCATGTGAACGGCAGTCAGACCAAGCACAGGCCCCATTTCAATTTTAGTTTAACATTGCTTTTATAGATTTGTTTCACTTATGTTCTCAAAGATTTGGAAATGTTTGATTTTGAATAATATGAATTTTCATAGTAACTAATAAAAAGAATGGTTGAGGACTACTAGATAATGAGAACAATATTATCAGAACACTCATTTTTTATTATAATAGACCTGGTTGAAATTTAGATAATAAAAGAAATTTTGAATTATAATAGCTTACAAAGGACATCAATAGACAACTTCATCTATATGAAACTATTCATGTATAACTCACACTCCAAAAGAGTTGGTCACCAGACATGTATCATTTCTTTCTATTAAGAAAGACAGTCTTCTTGCTAGAGGAACAGGGTAAAGAGACAGAAGACAGTACTATACCTCGCAAGGTTTTAAGCAAGCTTAGGCTACATGAGACCTTATGACAAATTTTGTTTCAAGGTCTGCTGACAATTATTACTTTTTCAGCTTGCCAATGTGACCTTAAAGGTGAACACAGTCAGAAGTCTGCATACGTATGCAAGGGTGGGGCTTTGATCTTCTGTTGCAATCACTTGTGGTATATCATTGGTCATCATTTGTCTGTGGCTCACTTGTCATTAGTCTAAAGTCACTGCTCAATGAGCCTATTTCCAATGGTCTCACAGTGGGTTAGCCAGGGGCACTGCTTACATTAGATCACAGGCACCTAGGCACATAGTTCCAAGCAGACTGTATCCCAGAATAAGCTAAAAAGCATTTCCCAGCGCCTTCCTTTAAGACTGTCCTCACAAATGGCTGCACAGGGTCCTGGGTAATATGCATGTGCTCCACATAAGTAGCACATCGTAGTCCAGTTACATCAAATGCTGTGGAAGCTATCCTAGACAGGCTTATGTTAGCAAGCTCTCTTTATTATTGCAAGTTTTCTCAGTATCTGAGGTGAGGGTGATACAGAAGCTGGTGTGTTAAAGTGTTTGGTTAATGTGCACCAACGAAGCCAGGCTATGTTGTCCATCTTCAGGCTTCATATTAGATACAGAGGCTGATGCTGACGCCTTTTACTGCTTTTTCATATGGTGGGTTGCAACTCAATGTCACAATGTACTATTTTTTTAAGATTTTACACAAACCAGGGAAAGCAGAACACAGTACCTCATTAACACAAAAGTTTGTGAGACTTTTGCTTCATTATAGCTTGTATGTGTATGGAAACTAGGCTAGGATTTAGAAAGTATTTTTACTGGGGTCTCTGTACTAAGAATCGTGAAAAACTGCTGCCTAAAGCGCCTCAAAAGCCATATAGACTTTCACTACCAGTCTTTCTTTGTCTGGGTAAGAGTTAACAGCCAAGGTTTTGAAACTAATGCACTAGTAAAATATTAATAAAATTTTATTTGAAACTTTCTTGCCCAGCAGAGAATTTTAATACTCCATTTGAAACAGTCTAGAAGTGTGTTTCAAGACCCCCAAATATGGTATTTCTTATTGAAAAGCTTTTATTCTCTCAACAAATGGCCCTAAATATAACAATCTCCCATCTCTATACCACCTCCCACATATCCCCGTATCTCTTGCTGTGACTAGGAGTTGGAGAACACAGTGACCAAATACCCAATCTTTCACAGCACTCACTACTTGTGGGAACTACAGATGCATTTGCTTTAATCAGCTTTTCCTTTGTAATCTACATAGATTACATGGAAACATATAGTCAAAAAGAAGTCTATCTAGCCTTTGGAGCAAAAATTCCACCCTTGATTATAAATTAAAATAGATATTCTAATACCATGAGGCATAGTGTATTTCAAAGTAAAGCATGATAATAAATAAGTTATACTCCCTGCCTGAGATTATGATTTTAAAATCACAGGGCTAGGGTCAAACCAACTAAATCCCACCTGTCCCACATTTTATTTACAAAAAAATTACAAAAGTGAAAATGCATATATACCTTCACTGTCCTTGAATTTCTTGATTGCCACAATTTCATGTGTTTCCTGGAAAGGAAAAAGAAGCAGAGGGAAAATTATTCTCCAATCCCAACTGAGGATCCCAATTATCTGGGGACAGCAGAGAAAAGACACAGATCACCATCTCCATCTACCATTTCTTTGTTTCAAAATCCTCTCTTATCACCCTGGAGACACTGCCAAGGATGGAGAAGAAAGGGAGTGGCGAGGAGGAAAGAACAGACACTGCCATGATATGCATGAAACATAAATCTGAACCGCCAATGTCTTCAAAAGTACAGGCTGTGAACAAAATAAAACAAAGACGTCATCCAGAACTATTCATATAACAGTTTGGTATAGCTTCTTCAGTACGTTTTCTCAACTTGGAAGATTATGCTTGGAATTGTATGCTTTGTTATATATTGTTGTGTATGTCACTTCATATTGTATAAGTAACATTTATACCTGTTGGTAAATAACTGTTTAAAGCTCTGTTTGTAATACATATAAATAATTTTAATAATTTAAATAATATTTTAACAGTGTATCAATGAACATCCACCAACAGGAGCATCTTCATTTCCAGAGCAAATGCTGTAGTGATATAGATGGTTCAAAGGTCACAAATGCTAAAGGTTCCTAAAACATACTGCCATGCTAACATACCCAAACACATGATTTTCACAGTTCCCTTGAGCAGTGTGTAATATCCAGTTCACAATCAGTGCCAAAACAGCATATCATTACTTAAAAGAATATTTTTTAATTCAATGATGACAGCAGATAAGGTTTTTTAGAATTTTAATCACATTTGGTTATTTATTGGGGGTTGGCTATGCATGTCACAGTGCAAGTGCAGAGGTCAGAGAACAATTGATGAGGGCTGGTTCTCTGTTTCCATCATGGAAGTCCCAAGGATCAAACTCAGGTTGTTCAGTTTGGCAGCAAGTATCTTTATCCACTAGGCCATCTTTCTGGCTCTGATTAGAGAAGTTTCCTATTACCTGGTAAATAAAATGAACTCTACCAGGGCTATTTATTTATTTATACAGATTCATAGATGAAAACTTGTCGCCAAACTGAACTACTTAAGGTTATTACTGTAGAGTACAATACGAGATCAAATTTGATATAACTGACCTTTGTAATTTATGTGCATCATTTTTGTGCTCCAAGTAAGTCCTCACTTGAACATGGTTATTTATTCATATTTATGCATTTTGATATTTTAATGATTTCATTCCTTAAATCTTTATTCAATTATTATTTACTTTAGTAAATGAGAAAGTGAGCAGTTTCAGATTTCATATAATTTCTAAATGTTGAACCAATTTTCCCAATCCCCTTTAGTGATGATTTGTAACTGTTATATCTTAGCATCCTTACAGACACATTCTAGAGTTACTTTCAGAGCTTTCTTGCCTGGTGTAGGCTTCTGACCTATGTATTCTTATGCCAGAACCATTTTAAATTACTGGTACCGTAAACTTCACACTAATCTAGAGTTCTAGATCCTGGTTTTCTTGTCACTTGGCTAAATCAAACTAAGAACAGGTTTTGGCTGTTAAACCTAACATAACTATATGCATCAGGCTATTATGTCAACTTTACTTACATATTCATTGGCTGCACCATTTATTAAAAGTTCTTTACTCCAATGGTTTTCATATATTGAAATTCTTGATTTGAATCAGTTTTTGTTTCATCATAAATGTATCTCTGAATAGTTTTCTGAGGCACTACCTTATTTTTCTAGCATGTGAACACCCTCACCCATGCAGCAAGTGGGCAGGTACAGAATTTATGGAATGGCTTGAGATACAGCTTAAGTGGTAGAAGGCATGCTTAGCATGTATGAGGCTAAAAAGAAAAATGTGAGAAAGGAAGGAAGGAAGGGAGGGAGGAAGGGAGGATTAATTAATTTGGGGGAAGGGAATCTTGTATTCTTACAGATTTTCTGTATGCTTGTAGCAAAACCCTGGAACACTCACATCACAAATCTATATGCTTATTAAGAATGAAATGTCTTGCAAGAAACCCATATAGTAGCTATTTTTTTTCAAGAGGAAAAAAAACTGAAGGGTTTAAAGAAGGTTTGCTCATGTTGGGGAGCTAGCTTAGTTGGTAAAGTGCTTTGCCACCCATGTTAAAAAGTAAGGTGTGGTGGCATGAACTTGTAAACTCAGCAGTAGGGAGGTGGAGACAGGCATATCCCTGAGGCCAGCCTAGCCTACCTGCTGAGCTCCATGCCAGTGAGAAACCCTCTCTAACATAAACAAGGTGGATGGCACCTGATGAATGACACCTGAGGTTGTCACCTGGCCTCCTTCCGTATATGTGTGTGTGTGTGCGCGCGCGCGCGTGTGCGTGTGCGTGTGTGTATACCCCAAACATGTGCATCTCCCCTGCCCCACAGAGGTCTGCTGTTTCCTAACATAGATTAAACTGACAGCACAGGGGGGAAAGAATGCCATGATGGTCTCTGGTTTTTAGAAAAGAAGTCTGTGTCCAATGTGATTTTGTTCTAAAGTAGATAACTTATTTTTTTATACCCAGATTCTCTCAGGTCATTTCTTTTCCTTGAAATAAAAAAAAATTGAAATCATCTGCCTATATTCTAGAAGAAATCCATGTGTTTGTGTTCTGAACTAATATCTGAAAAGTACTGATGTTCGGAAGATTTCCTTCTAATAACCTTAAGTATTGTTTCTATTCCAATTTTTCTAGTAATTTCCACTATAAACCTTATATCTTTCAGGTGTACCTTTCATAACTGCTTCATCTGTTTTGCTCAGTATTATATCACCAATACCTACTGTAGCAGGCCCGTAGTAAGATATTTGATATTTAGTGACCACTCAATGAGTGAATTCTTCAAATGTAATCAATGTTGTTCTTCATATGTTCCATTTGAGGTCTCTGCATCCTCCCTTATGTCAGTCAAGTCCTGAATTTGTTGCCATGGTTCTCCACTACATAGGGCAAATCTCCACTGCTCCCTTTCAGGTGACCAAGGAGATGTCTTCACTTCATCTGCTTGTTATACAGAAGTCCTTTTCAAGACTGGGTGTTGCTTCTAAATCTCAAGGCAACATTTTATCTTGACTCCTTTTTTTTTCCATAGTCCTCCTCTACCCACATACCATTTTTAATCTCATACTTATTACTGAGATGGAAAGAAATTCAACATGACTGACACCTGGCAGCAAACTGGTTAGATCGACTTTTCAGCCACCTGAACTTCAAATAAAGATGGATGTACTCAGAGCCTGATTTCAAAACTCATGCCCAACCACTTGGCTAGTTTGAACTTACACTGTCTTGGAAGGGTTCTCTGAAGAAGAAGCCAAATGAAGACATGCCATTTGCTCTCTCCTCTGTAGGCTCCAGAGCACATTACCTTGGTATTGGTGGCTCCCACACTTCTCTGTGGATGTAGCCGTCTCTATTTCTTGCCTTACTTTATGTATTTGGGGCACATTAGTCTCTGAAATGATCTGGGAATATGGATGTTAAATGGGCCACTGGGAAACTGAGAACTCCAGTTGCTTGGTGAGATGGGTGCCTGCTGGCCAGCCATTTTTAAACATAGATGCAGGTCTTTTCCTGCTCCCTTTGGCTATTTTTTGCCTCAGCTGCTTTCAGAAAGCGTAATAAATAACATGACATTCAAGACTGCTTTTTAATCTACTCTTGCTAATGAAATTCTCCCTAGAGTTTGGCACCAGTCTTTGAATTTTTATTTTAATTTACAGGACTATTAAAAGTTTCTGTTTTTCTCTTAAAATATCTTCATGGGTTCTTAATGGAGAGGCAGAGGTGACATGCCAATTGTTATTACTAGTTCTTCCACTATCCTGGGATGGTATACATGACAGAGGTGTGGGCAAGGAAGGAAACACATGAAAATGACCAAAGAACGTGTGTTTTAAATTCAGTTCATTCCCCCAAGCATGCCATTGCCCCCACAACGTCTGCAACAGAATGTCACCAGCTGTAGTTAGCAAGATAGACATAATCTGTTTCCTGTTTCAGTGTCCTGCTTTATTTTTAAAATGAGGCATTTCGAAGCAGACATTTTAAGCAGTAAACTGAGAATGAGATAAAATATATCCACAATTCATTAATGTAATTCCATATCTCATCCTTTATTCTACCTCAAAATTGGACTTAAGATTACTTTGGAATGCAAAAAAGAAAGACAAGATAATTTTTAGATAAAGGTTTCTAGATTATACCATCTCTATACTGAGGCATTTAATGTTTCCTAGAATAAGTTTTCTTCAGTGACAGGGAAAAAAATCAAGCAGGGTGTGGTGCCACAGGCTTGTAATTTCAGCATCGAGGACTTCGAGGCAGGAGTTTGGAGACCAATCTGGCTTACATGAGACTGTCTCGAAAAAGAAAAAAGGCAGGGAAGGGGGAGTGAGAAAAATGAGAAACGTATGTAATGAGTAGTGACTAGCAGAAAATATCTGGGAGGCCTATAGTTATTCTTGCATCAAGGTCTCAACTCCATTCAAAAAACAAACAAGCCTCCAGTCATATCGGACAGAGAGACTTGTGACTAGAATTCAGTGCTGTTGCTGGGTGTCTAAAGCTTTCTAGGTTCAAATATGCAGTATGCAGCACGACACAACAGGAGAAAGAAACCACTGACCCTATCGTAGTCCACTAGGCAGGGGTTAAGCTACCTCAAAGGTTATACTCAATTATTAATTTTCCAATTATTCTCTGCAGAAGCCCTTTCTTAGGAGAAATGCTTTTCTTCATCCCAATATGAGGAATACAATTTGATAACCAAGGTATTTTAAGTCTTTCTACATTTCATATGCAAAGATCTCCAACAGTCTGTGTTCACACATTCACATGCCCATTCAGTAGAAACAAAACCTTACAGTCATAGACATAGTTACTTTATTGTCCAGTATGGGAACTGAAAAGGCAAATTTACTTATTTTTTTCAAGGCAGGATCTCATGTAGCCAAGGCTAACCTTGAACTCCTGATCATCTTGCCTTCACGTCTCAAATTATGGGATTATAA